TGAGGTCAGGCTGACAGGCCTGGAGTTTCCCAGGTCCTCCTTGCAGCCCTTTTTGTAGATCAGTGTGACATTCACCAACTTCCAGTCGTCTGGGACCTCCCCAGAGAGCCAGGACCGTTGGTAAATAATGGAGAGCGGCTTGGTGAGCTCTTCTGCCAGCTCCCTCATCACCCTAGGATGGATCCCCTCTGGTCCCATGGACTTGTGTGGATCCACGCTGCCCCATGTGCCATTTCTCCCTCATCAGGACACTTGCACACCTGTCACCACGGGTAATCCCGGTGGTGACCCCCTCCCCCAGTGCTGACACCTTTCCCCCGGTGCTGACCTCCCCCCACGGTGCTGACACCCCGAGGCCCCGCTGGTGCCGGCGGCTTCCCGGACCGGTGCCAGGAGTCCCCACTGTGCCCCGCTGCCCTGTTGCCCCGTCTGGGTTCGTGGCGGTGCTGCTTGGGCCCGACGCCAGGCAACTGGTGCTGTCGCCCCGCTGCCGGCAGCTCCCGTTCCCCGCCCGCGGCCGCGGGTGCCGCAGGGTGCGGGTGCTCGGCACGGTGCCTAGGTGAGGGAGGCTCAGCGGGTCCCGGGGGCTCCTTCGGAGCCCGGCGGACGGGAGACGCCGTGGGAGGGAGCCGGGCCGGCCCGGCGGCGTCGGCACCCGCGGGCGAGACTGTGGTGCTCCTGCCCGGCCGGCCCGGCTGGCCTGGGAGCCGCCGGGGGTGGGAGCCGCCGGGGCCGGGAGCCGGGAGCCGCCTGCCCTGGGAGCCGCGGAGGCCGGTGCCAAGAGCCGCCCCGTCAGGTCTTCAAAGCGCCTGCCCCGCCCCCGCCTCGTCCCTCCGGTCGGTACCTGCCGGTGCCAGGGTGCCGGAGCCGAGGGAATGCCGGTGCCGGGGGTGCCAGAGCGGCGGTGCCGTCCCGCCCCTCACCCCGGCGCGGTCCCGGGCTCTCGGCCGCGCCGTGGAACCCTCCGGCCCCGGCTCGGCACGTCGGAGCAGCTCAGCCGGTGTGAGCAAGGTACCAATCCGGCGCGGTGCCGCCTGTATCACCGCCCTGGCAGTACCACGGCCACTGCCCTGTCCCTCTGCCGCCCTGCGCCCTTCGCGTCCTGATGCCCATGGGCTGCCGTAGCTGCGGCTCCCGGGTGCCCCTGTCCACCCTGACGTGCGTCAGCCGCGCTCCCATCGTGCTCCGGACGCCCGATGTGCCTGTGCCAGATGTGCTTGTGCCAGATGCGCCTGTGCCAGATGCGCTCTCGGCGGAAAAATGTGCGTGCCGGGGCCGGGGCCGGGGCGGGCAGGGCCGGTGCCGCCCGCATTCCGCGGCGGCCGCGCTGGCTCTTCCCCAGCGGGCACTGGGCCGGCACTGGTTGCCGCTCCCTGACGGGCCCCCCCACCCACGGGGTGTCACGGGTGGGTGTCACAGGGGGTGTCACCGGTGGGCGGGTGCTGGCGAGGCTCCCCGTGGCGCCGCGGGCGCGTGGTTGGACCGTGAGTCACGGTGAGACGGAGCCGCGGTCCCGTGTCCTTGGACTCCACACCGGTGTCGGGTGTGGAAACTGACGTGGGTGTTGGGGTGTAGGTGTAGATGTTGGGGTGCAGAACATAGGCCTCGGGGCACTGCTGTGTATGTTGGGGTACAGACCTGGGAGCTGGGGTGCAGATGTGGGTGCTGGGGCCCAGGCTGTGTCAGGCTGGCAGTGCTCAGGGTGCCTGAGGCTGTACTTTCCCCAGCAGCTGCCACCCCTGCTATGGGTGATGTGGGTGACATTGGTGACATGGATGACATGGGTGCCGTGGGTGCTGCCATCAGCAGAGCTGTCAGCCCCGTGCTGCTCTGAGGGGCTGGGGACTCCCATCCTGTGCCAGCTCCTCTGGGGATCCCCAACTCTGAAAGCCCCAAGGAGGGACGTCCCAGGGGGATACAGCACCTAGTGGGGTGCAACACCCAAAATCCCCCTGTGGTTCCCATGGCCAGCAGTGTCACCCTGTCAGGGGAATGCAGTGGGAGATGGGTCCCTGGGGAGGGGCATTCCTCCAGTGATGCCAATACCCCTGCCCAACGTGAGCACCCGTGGGTGCCACGGGGCACAGAGTGGGGTGTTGGGTGCTGTCCTGGGGTGCTTGGTGTGGGTGGAACCACTGGCAGGGGTGGGAGCAGCCACTGGTGTGAGCAGGGGGCACCTGGTGGGTCCGTGGGGCTCAGCCTCTCCATTTTCAGGGTCTTGGCAGCCCAGGGGATTGGGACCGTGAACCCCTCAGGAGGGGCCCTGGGACTCTGAGCCCCCCAAGCACAAGACCTGGACCTGGCAAACTTTTGGGGCCTGAGCCCGAGGGTGGGGGAGCAGGAGTCCTCTGGTACCAGGGCATGGTCTGGGGTTGCTGGGAGGTCCCTGGGCTGGGGAAGGAGGTGGTGCCATGGCCCTCAGAGGAGCTGGGGGTCCCAGCTGGGAGCTGAGAGGCCGGGTAACCCTGACCATGGGGCCAGAGGGGTTTTGGGAACCCTCAGTATGGGGCCGGAAGAGTCCTGAGTTGGGAACGTAGGATCCTGGGCCTCTGGGGCTTGTAAATCTTGGGATCTCAAGATGTGGGGACTGGGGGTCTGACATCACTGGGCTGTGGTGTTGGGGGTCCCAAACCCTCAGGGCTTGTTGACCTAGGGGTCCCGAAGCCCTAGGGTGTGTGTGTGTTGGGGGTCCCAAACCCCGGGCTTGCGGACCTGGGGTTCCCAAGGTCCCGGGGTGTGGGGCAGAGGGTCTAGCAGCTCCGGCTGTGAGGATAAAGGTTTCTGAGCACCGCGAGCTTCAGGACCGGTGGTCCCACCCCCCGCTCTCGCAGAGCTGGAGGTCCTGCGACCCCGGACGTTCGGCGGGGGATGCCGGCTTCCCGTGGGGTGCCCCATGGCAGATCCACGGATCTGTGCCCCATTCCGGCTGCCGGCGCGGGAAGGGAAGGGTTAAAGCGGCGCCGTGGGCTTGGGAGTTTCCTGTGGGCAGGGTCGGGGCATGGGGCGGGGGGATGGAGTCCCGTCTCCTCCCCCGGCCGCCCCACTCGCGGCGGGACCGGCAAGGGAGCGGGAGGTGAGACGAGCTGTGTCGGGGCTCAGCCATGTCTCGACAGCGGCGCAACCCGGAGGAGGCTCCGGTGGCGGCCACCCGAACGGGCTCCGAGGACAACCTGTACCTGGCTGTGCTGCGGGCGGCCGAGGGCCGCAAAGGTACCGCGCCGAGGCGTGGGGGGGGAAGCCGCCCCACCATTGCATCCCTCACCTGGGGCGGTGTCCCCAGGGCAGGCTGTGGGACGGACTCCCATACCAGGGCCGTGTCCCGGGGGGAGACCCTCATGCTGGGACAGTGTCCCTGGGGAGGTGTGCCCCCAGGTAGGCTGTGGGGCTTGGCTATGGGGCAAGCTCTCACACCAGGGCGGTGTCCCTGGGGCAGACCCCCACGCCGGGGCAGTGTCCCCAGATTAGTGTCCCCAGGGCAGCCTATGGGGCAGGCTGTGGGTCAGACCCCCAGGCTGGGATGGTGTCCCCGGCAGGCCGTGGGGCAGACCCCTGTCATGCTGGGACAGTGTCCCTGGGGCGGGCTGTGGGGCAGACTGTGGGTCAGACCCCCACGCCGCCGCCCATCCCCATCCCCGGTGCCCGTCGGTCTCTTCCTGCCACGCCCTGCCCAGCCGCTGTGGCCTGGCTGCGGCGGTCGCTCCGCCGCTGCCGTGGAGTGGGCACCGCCGTGGGGACCCTCTGGGTGTCAGTGTTCCCGGCGAGGGTGCCGGGGCGCGGTGCGAGTGCCCCCCGCTCGGTGCGCAGTGTGCCCCACGCTTCCTTCCTTCCTTTCTCTCACACCGCGGCCACTCCCGGCCCGGCACGCCCTGGCTGTGCTACTGTGCTGCTGAGCTGCTGAGCGTCCTCGGGCCCGTGGGGCAATTCTGGGTGCGCGGCGTCCCCAGGTGCTCGCCCGGGTGGGGGGTGTTGGCTGTGGGGTGCTGGGTGCCGCGTGGGCAGATCCCAGCACGCTCCGGCAGGGCAAGACCCGGCACGCGGCACCTGGCTTGCGGTGGTGTGGGCAGGGGGGCGTCCCGGCGGCCAGGGGGTTGGTGGCATTGCCCCACATGCACGGAGTGTCCCCTCTGGTCACCGACCTCTCCCGGGCACCAAACTGGGTCTGGTGCTGGTGGTGACACTGGGGGCCAGGGGGCAGCGGGAACAGAAGGATGGGTGCTGGTAGAGGGGCATGGGGGGTGGGTTTGTTAGTGGGGTGCAGGGCGGTGGGTGGGTTAGCAGGGTGCAGGGCAGTGGGTGGGTTAGTGAGGTGCAGGGCAGTGGGTGCCGGTAGCGGGTGCTGAGGGGTTGGGTCCAGTGCAATCCTGGGTGCCCATCCTGATGCGTCACCATTCCTATCCCATCCCCTAATGACAAGGCAGCGGGCAGGGAGTGCCATGACTCACTGTGGCCCCGTTGGCCCTGTGCCCGTGGCAAGGGGTGTCCCGGGGGTGTAGGGTGTCCCGGGGTGTCCTGTGGCTCTGGCAGTGCAGACAGTGCGTGGGCTCATACTGGTCCCAGGCACATCCCAGCAGGGCCCTGCCCATGGGGCTGGGGCTGTGCTGGGGCTGTGCCAGGACAGACATGCCATGGCCTTGTCCCTATGCTGTACCTTTCCCACTTGGTCAGTGCCTAGAGAGCCCAGGGCAGCGCTGGGGCTCCCTCCCCACTGTGGTGCCAGAGTCTCAGGGCTGGGTGGGTACCCCATGCTCTCTCTGGTGCTGGTGGCTGCTGATGGGCACTGATAGGTGCTGGCGGGTGCTGGCACAGTGCTGGCACGCTGGGGCCGATCCCCGTTAGCTGTTTCCTTCCCCCACACCCCGTGACTCACCGTGGTTCCCCAGAGCTCTTGGTTCATCGTTTCCTGCACCAGCTGTGCCCTGCGGTGCCGCCAGCGGGGCCTGGTTCTTGCTGTGCTGTGATCCAGGTGCCGCCAGCTCACCTGTCCCTCTCCTCTCTTGCAGATGAGCGAGATCGTGTCCAGAAGAAAACTTTCACCAAATGGGTCAACAAGCACCTCATCAAGGTACAGGCGCTGCCAGTCCAGTGGGCACCGCTGCCCCAGCAGACCCCAGACCTTAGCCCTGGAAGCACCCCCAGTTGCAGCCCCCCGTGCTGGCATTGCCAAGGACGTGGGCAGCGGAGGGTACCCCGTGCCAGTGCAAGTTCTTTTGTGCCTCACCAGTAGTCGAGGCCTCTCGGCTGCCTCCATGGTGGGGGTCTGTCCTTGCAGGCAGGAGCTGCCCCCCTGCTGTCCTCCCATGTGTTCCAGGAGGGGATGGTGCCCCTGGCATGTGGGAATGTGTCCTGGGCTTTGACACCCTTGGTTCTGTCCCACTCATGTGGTCCCCGTTCCCTGCCATCGTGCCGGTGCCCATCCCTACAGTGTGGTGGGCAGAGCCCCACCTTAGCACTCAGCACATACTGGGATGTCCTGCAGCCCCCGTGGTGACGTGCCTCCACATGTCCCCAGCCCCACAGTGCCACCACAATGCCACCACCCCCAGTCCACCCTGGGTCCTCTCTTTGCTCTGTCGTAACTGCTGTCTTCTCTCTGCCCTGTGCAGCATTGGCGAGCAGAGGTAGGTCCTTCCTCTCTGTGTGTCCCACCGTGCTCTTCCTCTTCACACACCTTCCACTTCCCTCACTGGGGATGGATCCCTGGGGCTGCCAGCGTGGTGGGCAGCAGGTCCAACCCAGCATGGTGGGCAGCAGGACCCTGTGCATGCCAGAGTGATGCTGGAGTGATGCCAGAACAATAGTGGATCCATCCTGGCACCGTGGGGGGAGTTGCTGTGTGTGTTTGGGGGGATGTGGCACTGGGGGCACCAGCTGTGCTTGGGGCCGTGTGTGAGCGCCCGCTGCACTGAGTGGTCACTGGGCGCCCACCCCAGTGCTGACTGGCAGGGATGGGGGGCGCTCGGTTGTCCCCAGCCCCCCTGACACCGTCGCTGTCCCCTCAGGCGCAGCGCCACGTCAACGACCTGTACGAGGACCTGCGGGATGGGCACAACCTCATCTCGCTGCTGGAGGTGCTCTCGGGGGACACGCTGGTAGGTGCCGCGCTGCCCCTGCCCCGTGCTGCCCCTGCTCCCTGCCGCGTGCCGGCACCCCTCTGCCAACCGTCCTTGTCCTCGTCCTCGCTGCCCGCCTCTGCTCCCTCTCTTCCCGCCTGGCCGTCGGTCCGTCCCGGTGACCCCAAGTTCCCGCGCCCCCGCCTCTAACCTCTCTTTGCTTTGGTGCCCTCTCTGCTTCCCGGCGCCGGCCCCGGCCCACCACCGCCTTTGCCTCCTCCTTCTCCTTCCTCTCTCTGCTCCTCTCCGCTCTGCTCGGCCGGGGCAGCCCCGGGAGCGCGACGTCCTGCGGACCTTGCGGTTGGTGAGTGGTTCTGCTGTCAGCTTTCGGCATGGCCCTGCATGGCGACCGACACTGCAATACTGGCACGGAGCAGTGCCAGCGCGTGCCGAGGCTCCGTCCGTGGGGCCTGGGGTTCCATCCGTGTGCCGTGTGCTGTGCCATCCTGGTTCTCTGGCTGCATGCTGTGCCTGTCCCGGTGCCCCATCCGATGCCAAGTGCCATGGGAGTGAGTTTCCCTGGGCCAGACGTTGGTGGCAGTGAAGTAGTGAGCATGAGTAGTGAGTAGAGAAGCATGGCATCACTGGGAGGGATCCCACTGCACTAGGTTCCACTGGGCTGGAGTTAGATTTTGGCTCCCAGCACCACAGAGGATGTACTACTGGCTCCCTGGGGTGGCTGGCAAGGGGGATGGTTCTGTGGGCAGCAGCCCCGGGCTCTCCTGCCAGGGTTGATCCTGGCCTTGACAGGCTGTGGGTCCTTGGTGACTCCCAGCTGTGGGATGGGAGGAACCCTGGTCCATTGCTGAGCGGCATGGGGAGGTTTGGGGGCTCCCCAGCTTTCCCAGCAGTAGAAGCCAGGCTCAGATAGTGGGGCCAGCAGGTGTGGGGCGTCTGTCCAGGCAGGACCTGCCCAGGGGACCCCAGCTGGGACCTGCAAGTTTTGGGGGTGCTCACCCAGCTCAGCAGTGCCTGGTCCTGCTGAGGGGGGACACTGGAGTGTGCTGAGGAGCTGCATGGTGAGGGACTGTGTGGCGCTGCCAGGACCGTGGTGTTGTGGCACTGAGGCTGGCACTGGTCCTGCCTGGGCAGTGGCTGCTGTGCCCACATGCTGGGTACTTGGCTGCCCCCAGGATGGCCGCAGTGGCCCCGGCACTGGCAGGTGTGGGGTGGGAACAGTCTGTGCCGGCAGGCTCGCGGGGGGAGCATGGGGAGCGTCCCCACCCCTGCAGGGGCAAAGTGCGAGGGCGGGTGCCATCGGCATGTGTGGCGCCGGGAGGGGCTGGGAGGGGGGGGCGGCGTGGCGGAACAGCATCGTGGTGGCGTGGCAGGGCCATGGCTGGGGAGCGGGCCGGGTCTGTACCGTGGCATCGCAGTGGGGCCGTGGCGGGAGGCCGAGGTGGCAGGACACAGCAGGGCTGTGTCCACAGCAGCTGCACTCACTGCCCCTCTCTCCCCCAGCCCCGGGAGAAAGGCCGGATGCGCTTCCACAAGCTGCAGAACGTCCAGATTGCCCTCAACTACCTGAAGCATCGGCAGGTGAGAAGGGGGTGGGACCCCCTGGATGCCCAGGACCCCCGGGGCTGTGCCATGCTCTCCCACCCCTGAACCATGTGTGTCCCGTGCCACAGGTGAAGCTGGTGAACATCCGGAACGATGACATCGCTGATGGCAACCCCAAGCTTACGCTGGGGCTCATCTGGACCATCATCCTCCACTTCCAGGTGAGCCCGGTGGGGTGGGGATGGGGACAGTGATGCCAGGGGGCTGGGGTTCTGTGGTGCCAGTCTGGTCCCTGTGTGGGGCAGGAGTGGTGTCACTGGGAGCTGCCGTGGAGCGAGTGTACCTTTGTTGGTGCTGGTTCAGTGCTGGTGCCTGTCCCTGGACTAACAGTCATGTCCTGGCAGATCTCAGACATCCAGGTGACAGGGCAGTCTGAGGACATGACGGCCAAGGAGAAGCTGCTGCTGTGGTCACAGCGGATGGTGGAGGATTACCAGGGCCTTCGCTGCGACAATTTCACCACCAGCTGGCGGGACGGGCGCCTCTTCAACGCCATCATCCACCGGCACAGGTGAGTGCCACGGTGATGCCACATGACATATGGGCAGGTGTGTGTTCACCAGGGTCAGCCACATCGATCCTGTGGGTGGGGTGTGCTCACTAGGATGAGCCACATCAATCCTGTGGGTGGGGTGTGCTCACTGAGATCAGCCACATCGATCCTGTGGGTGGGGTGTGCTCACTGGGATGAGCCACATCGATCCTGTGGGCAGGCGTGTGTTCAGCAGGGCTGGCCGGTGATCCCACTCGGGGTGATGTGGGCATGTGCTCCCAAAGAGCCCCAGTCCATTGGCCCGTGTCGGTGGTGCCGTGCCTACCATGGCGTGCTGGGGCATGGGCAGGCAGGTCCCCATGGGTCCTGCCTGGACTGCTGTGGGATTTTGGGGAGCGAAAATATGTGCAGGCCTGTGCCAGATGGGGGGAGGCAGCCTCTATGTGCCACGTCACATCTGTGCCATGCTCTGCACTGAGCCGCTGCCACGCCTAACTTGGTACCCCCTGGAGCCACGAGGAGGGGCTGAGGTGTCTGCCCCAGAGGGTATGGGGGTGTCAGTCTTACAGGGGATTGGGATGTCTGCCCTATAGGGGATTGGAGTGTCAGACCCACAGAGGACTGGGGTGTCAGCCCCACAGGGGGTTGGGGTGTCTGTCCCATGGGGGACTGGGGAGTCAGTCTCATGAGGGGTTGAGGTGCCCATCCCACAGGCCATGTGGGTTCTACCTGCGCTGGGGTCCCTGCTGGGGACTGCAGGGTGTCCCCAGCTCCCAGTGCCCCTTGCCAGGTGTGCGAGTCTCAACTGCTGCTGTGCCCCCAGTGTGGGTGTGTGGGGCATGAGGTGGCAAGGCAGGGGTGAAGGCAGCCTCAGGGAGGGGAGGGACCTGCTGTCCTGGGGTTTTGGGGTCCCCATGGCCCTGCTGACCCCCGCTGACCTGCTGCCCACAGGCCGATGCTGATCGACATGAGCCGGGTGTATCGTCAGAGCAACCTGGAGAACCTGGACCAGGCCTTCACCGTGGCCGAGCGGGACCTGGGTGTGACGCGGCTGCTGGACCCCGAAGGTACGGGCTGGGGTGAACCAGGGGTCCCCCAAGAGAGCCCGCATCCCTCCCTGCCACGGGGCACTCCCATTTGACCCCTCCCTCTCTGCAGATGTGGATGTGGCGCAGCCAGACGAGAAGTCCATCATCACTTATGTGTCCTCACTGTATGATGCCATGCCACGCGTGCCTGAGGTGCAGGACGGCGTCAAGGCCAACGTGAGTTGGGCAAGTGGGGAGCCGGGGAGGTCACCACTGCTGCCACCCCCCACGGTGTGAGCCCTGGCCCCACACGTGTTCCCGTTCCCAGGAGCTGCAGCTGCGCTGGCAGGAGTACTACGAGGTGGTGACAGGACTGCTGCAGTGGAGCCGGCAGCACTCGACGCTCTTCGAGGAGCGTCGCCTCCCCGCCAGCTACGAGGAGATTGAGGTGAGGTCACCAGCACAGCATGGGCAGGGGGACACAGAACAGGGCTGGTGCTGCTGGCACGGCACGGGCATGGGGATGGAGTGGGACAGCGCTGCTGCTGTCAGTGGGGGGCACAGGCATGGGGACTGGGGACAGAGACAGGGACGGTGCTCTCACAGGGGTGACTGGCCCCAGGAACCAGCAGTGCCTGGGGCAGCAAATGGTGGGGTCCCAGCTGGCCTGTGGCCCCACTGGGGGTAGTTTGTGTCTGGCTGGCAGCCCCTTTGCTGGCACATGGCCGGCTGTGCTGTGCTGTGGGTCACTGGGAGACCAGTTCGTGGCCGTGGAGCTGGGCACAGGGGCTCAGAGCCGTGGCAGAGCTGGGTGTCTGGTCGGGGGGGGCCTCCCTGACTCACCCTCCCTGGCTATGCTGTGAGTCACCGCTGGCAAAGCCCGGCACAGCCACTTCCTTCCCACCGGCTCTGCACGCATGGAAAATTGGAGGGGGGAGCGGATTCCCAGGGAGAGGTCAACATTGGCCGGGGGTCCCTGCTCAGCTGCCCCCCCACTCCGGCAGATCCTCTGGCGCCAGTTCCTCAAGTTCAAGGAGACGGAGCTGCCGGCCCGGGAGGCCGACAAGAACCGCTCCAAGGCCATCTTCCAGGCACTGGAGGTGTGTGCGCTGGGGTCTTGGGGGGCTTCCAAGGGTTGGGGATCCTGGGTGTCTGGGATCCACGGGGTGGGGGGCCTGAGGGTAGGGGCCCTGCAGCTTGAGGTTCTGGGGGGCTGGGATCCCAAGGGATGGGAGCTCTGGGGCTGGGTTCCTGAGGGCTGGGGGTCCTTTGGGGCTGGGGTCCTTTGGGGCTGGGGGTCTTGAGGAACTGGGGGTGTTGAGGAGCTGGGGATGGGTCCCAAGGCGGCGATGGTCCTGTGGGGGCTGGGGATCCTGGGGAGCCAGGGGTGTTGGGAGGCTGGGAGTGGGTCCTAAGGAGATGATCATCCTGGGGTGCCAGGGGTCCCAAGGGAATGATGGTCCTGGGTGCCTGGGGCCTCGGGATACTGGCTGTCCCACGGCAGCCCCCAGCATACCCCCCGGGGGTCACGGGCAGTGTCTGACATTTGGGGGGCACAGGGTGCGGTGCAGTCGGGGCAGCTGAAGGTGCCCCCCGGGTACCACCCGCTGGACGTGGAGAAGGAGTGGGGGAGGCTGCACGTGGCTGTGCTGGAGCGGGAGAAGCTGCTGCGGGCAGAGTTCGAGAGGCAAGTAGGGGGGGCCAGGGGACTCGGAGGAAGCGGGGGGGTTGCGGGCAGGGCTGTGCTGGCACCTACACCCCCTTCCCGCTGCCAAACCACGGGGCTGGGCCGGGGTGGGGTGTCCCAGTTCTGCCGAGGGGGAACCACAGGGCCGTGAGTCATCTCTCACTGAGAATCCAGCGCGGCTGCTGGCCTCGAGTGCAGCAGGCACGGCGGGAGCGGGACGGGGGAATGGGGAGGGGGAGCAATGGGGAGTGGGGTGGGATAGGGATAGGAAGCAGAGTGAGGAGTGCGATGGGGGGCAGGATGGGGGTGAGATGGGATGGAGACTGGGATCAGGATGAGGGTTAGGGACTGGGAAGGGGATGGGGTGGCACTGTGATTGGGATTGGGGGCAGGAAAGGGACAGGAAGCAAGAAGGAGATGGGGATCAAGGTGTGAATATGGAGTGGGATGGGGGGCATGATGAGGATGGGGAGTGGGACAGGGAGCAGGATGCAGAGTGGGACAGAACTGATGCTGTGCATGGCTAGGACAGGTGCCCCTCAAGGAGGACCCAGTCTCTGCTGACTGTGTCTCCCGTGTCTCCCGTGTTTCCACAGGCTGGAGCGGCTGCAGCGTGTGGTCACCAAGCTGCAGATGGAGTCGGGGATCTGCGAGGAGCAGCTGAACCAGGCAGACGCTCTGCTGCAGGCGGTGAGTGATGATGGCACTGGGGTGGGGGGGGCCTGGCAGGACCCCCGCCAGGACCCTGAGCCTGGCCATGCCCCGAGCCCTGACCCCATGCTCCCCTCCTGCAGGACGTGCGGCTGCTGGCAGCAGGGAAGGCACCACAGAAGGCGGCTGAGGTGGAGCGGGACCTGGACAAGGCGGATGCCATGATCCGGCTGCTCTTCAATGATGTCCAGAGCCTCAAGGACGGGCGGCACCCGCAGGGCGAGCAGATGTACCGCCGGTACGGCCCAGGGTGGGGGGTTCATCAGGGCTTGCAGGGCACCCCAGGGTGAGCAGATGTACCACTGGTGCGGCCCGTGGCGGGGGGTTGGGGAGGTTCCCACAGCCTGTCCCCACGGCCCTGTGCCCCCCAGAGCCCTCCATGTCCCCCATATCTCCCTTTTTTTCCCTGCCCCCATGTCCCCAAAGCCCTGCATGTCCTCCAAAGACCTCCACGTACTCTGTGTCCCCCATCTCCTTTGTACCCCTTGAAGCATCCCAAAGACCACCATGCTGCCCATACCCCACATGCTCCTTGCACCCCCAAAGTCCCCCATATCCCCTGTGCCCCACAAATCTCCCTGTGACTCCTCTGCCCTCCATGTTTCCCGTGTCCCTCATGTCCCCTATATCCCCTTTACCCCTCAAAGTGCTCCAAACCTTCTACAGCCCTTGCTCCTCCAAAAACCCCCCGTGGCTCCTGTGACCCCAAAACCTCCCATGCTCCCAAAGCTCCCTGTGCCCTCCATGTCCTCTGTGCCCACTGACACCCCCCACCCCGCAGGGTGTACCGGCTGCACGAGCGCCTGGTGTCCATCCGCACCGAGTACAACCTGCGGCTCAAGTCGGGGGCCCCGGTGACGGCGGTGACGACTGTGCCTGTGGCGTCGGGGCAGCGGCGGCCAGAGCCGGACGAGGCGCCACTGCGGTACCTGCAGGACCTGCTGGCCTGGGTGGAGGAGAACCAGCGGCGCGTGGCCACGGCTGAGTGGGGCGCGGACCTGCCCACTGTGGAGACCCACCTGGGCGCCCACCGTGGGCTGCACCGCGCCATCGAGGAGTTCCGCGCCAAGGTGGAGCGGGCGCGGGCTGACGAGGTGAGACCCTCAGGGTGCTGGAAACCCCCTGTCCTTGGGGTGAGACCCCTGGGGTGTGGGGGACCCCCCAGCTTTGGGGACCCTCCAGTCCTGAGGTCCCCCTGGTCCTGGGGCCAGTGGGTTGAGCCCCCAGTCCTGGGGCCCCACAAGTCCTGGGGCTGATGAGATGAGCCCCATGGGGTGCTGCAGATCCCCCGGTCCTGGGGGACCTCTGGGCCTGCCCCTACCCCTGTGTTCCTGAGCATTTCCCATGGGGTTGCCCCAGGTGGGGCTGCCCCCGCTCTGCACCTGGGAGTCCCCAAAGCACCATGGCTGCCCCTCTTCCTGCTCCTGGGGGTCCCTGCAGGGTGGGGGGGACTCTGGGGAGAGCAGCCCATCCTGGCTCTGCCCCCGCTCTGGAGCCCCCCACTGTGCCCCAGGGTGCCCTGTGAGGTTGGGGGGCATCCCCTGGTCCCTCCACCGCCTGCACCCCTGGTCTGTCTCCTTTGCTGCCCTCCCCGTGTGCCCCTCTGCCATCACCCCCATTGCGGGGTGCAGGGGGGCTCCTGGGGTGCTGCTGTCCTTTGTGGGGTACTGGCACTGATGGTGTGTCCTCCCCAGACCCAGCTGTCCCCTGGCCCCCGCGGTGCCTACAGGGAGTGCCTGGGCAAGCTGGAGCTGCAGTACGCCAAGCTGCTGGTGAGGCCTGGGAGGTGACAGGGGGGCCCATGGTGGGGACCTGCTGGGGAGGTGTGACCTGGGGGTCGGGGGACATGACATGGTGGGGACCTGGTAGGGTGGATGTGACGTGGGAGGGGGTGATGGTGGGGGTGGCCTGCCAGGGAGGTGTGTGAGGGCTGTGGGGAGGAGGATGGTGAGTGGGGGAACGTGTTGGCAGGAGGATGCAGGACGGGGTGGGGGGCACACATGGGGATGAGGGTGGGGAGGGGTGGCTGTGCAGGGTAGGACATGGCTGCAGCGCCACCGTGTCCCCCCAGAACTCCTCCAAGTCACGGCTGCGGCACCTGGAGAGCCTCCACGGCTTTGTGAGCGCTGCCACCAAGGAGCTGCTGTGGCTGAGTGAGCGTGAGGAGGAGGAGGTGGCCTTTGACTGGAGCCACCACAACCCTGCCATGGCTGCCAAGAAGGAGAGTTACTCGGTATGGGCACAGCGGGGTGGCACATGGGCATGGATATGGGCACAGGGGTGGGCATGGACGGGGGGGGAACATGGACATGTACACAGGCACAGGGATGGACATGGACATGAACACAGGCATGGAGATGGGCATGGGCACAGGGGTGTACGTGGACATGGGCACAGAGATGGGCACAGGTGAGACACAGATGTGCACATGGACATGCACACATGGAGGAGAGCTGCTGCACATGCACGTGCACACAGACACGCACATGGACCTACACATGGATGTGGAAACGTGTGCCATCCTTGCTCGGACATGGACATGGACATGGACCCAGATGTGCACACACACATGTCTGTGCCACATGGTGCCATCCCTGCTCCACAGTGCTGAGCTCCCTTGTCCCCTGCTCTCCCACCTGTGCCCTTGTGGCTGCTCTGCCCACCCCTATGCCCAGAAATCCCTTCATGCACACACAGAACCATGCACAGCGCCCTCCCCTCAGCCCATGCACACATGTGTGAGCCTTGGACCCCCAGATGTGTACACGTGTGTGAGCCCTGACGCTGCAGCTGTGCACGTGTGTGAGCCCTGACTTCCCCCCCAGGCGCTGATGAGGGAACTGGAGCTGCGGGAGCGTCGGATCCAGGAGCTGCGGAGCTCAGGGGAGCGGCTGCTGCGTGAGGAGCACCCCGGGGCACAGACACTGGAGGTGGGCACAGGGAGATAATGGGGGGGCATTGTGGTGGAGGCTTTGGGGGAGCAGTTGCTGCACAAGGAACACCCTGGTATGCAGGCACTGGAGGTGGGCGTGGGGCTAGAGGGGTACAGGGAAGTGGGTGGGGGCACAGGAGGATGGGGAGCTGCAGAGTCTGGGGGATCTGGATCTGGAAGGTGGGGGGAATATGGAGGGGACCTGGGAGTCTTGGTGAGTTTGAGGGACCTGGGAGGGCTGGGAGAATCTGGGGGGCCTGGGGGTCCTGGTGGCTCAGGGAGGGGGATCAGGGAGGCCTGGGTACTGGGTGGCACTGGTATGGGTGTGGGTGCGGGTGCAAGTGCCTGTACCAATGTGGGTGCAGGTACAGATGAGGGTGCAGATGTGGGTGCCTGTAGCAGTGCAGGTGCCTTCAGTGCCAGCCCTGATGTGTCCCCACCCTGCTCCTCCACCCCCTCCAGGCATTCCTGGCAGCTCTGCAGACCCAGTGGAGCTGGATGCTCCAGCTCTGCTGCTGCATCGAGACCCACCTGAAGGAAAACACCAACTACTTCCAGGTACAGGGGGGCTAGGGGAGGGTTGGGGGGGTTGGAGGGAGGGGGTGACCCCAGTGCTGACCCCTGCCCCATCCCCCCCCAGTTCTTCAGCGAGGTGCGAGAGACCGAGGAGCTGCTGCGCAAGACGGAGGAGACGATGCGGCGCAAGTTCAGCTGCGACCGCGGCACCACGGCCACACGCCTCGAGGACCTGCTGCAGGACCTCGCGGTGAGGGCTTGCCTGGCACCCCCAAGGGGACTCCCAGACCCCGGGGGGCACCCCCACAGAGACCCCCAGACCCTGGGGGGATCCCCCCAGGTGACCCTCACAAGATCCCTGGGGTAACCCCCCCAATATTCCTGAACTCCCCTAAAACACCAGGTATCCCCTTAAAATTTTGATGCCCTTACAAACCATGGGATTTCCAAAATCCTGAGGTGCCCCAAACGTGTTCCCACAGGAGCAAAAGGAGCAGCTGGCAGAGTTGGGGACCCAACTAGGGGGTCTCGCCCGCCGTGCCAGGACCATTGTGCAGCTGAAGCCGCGGAGCCCTGGGACGCCCCTGCAGGGCCGCCCCCCCATCCAGGCCGTCTGTGACTACAAACAAATGGAGGTGGGGCACTTACAGGGGCTGGGTTGGTGCAGGTGGGAGGTGGGAAGATGCGTGGGGGCATATGGTGGGACCAGCACCCCAGTCTGATGTGGGGTCCATGAGGGGACACAGGGGAACATGGGATGATCCACACACTGGTCTGACACCAGTCTGGGGGGCATAGGGAGATATGGGGGGACCCCCACCCTGCTTTCATTCTGCGCCAGTCCCATGAAGGGACACAGAGTGGGAAAAAGGGGGCCCCCCACTCCCTTCTAATGCCATCCCAGCCCCATTGGATGCTTTAGGGTGAACACTGGGGGCCACCCACCCCAGTCTGAGACCACCCTGGTGCTATGGAAGGACACTGGGAAATATGAGGGGCCGTCAGGACTCCCCTATCTGGTGCTGCCCCAGCCCCATGGGGGGACGCAGGGGTGGACATCGGAGGGGGACACTGGAGGTCCCCCACCCCACGGGGGTGACATGGAGGAATATGGGAAGACATAGGGGAATGTCGGGGGACATAGAAATGCACATGGAGGAGCCTCACCCTGCTCTAACTCTGCCCCAGCCCCGTGGGGGGACATGGTGGGGGACACAGGGGTCCCTCACCCCAGTCTGACACCATTCCAGCTCCATGGGGGGACACAGAGGAATACAGTGGGGACAGAGGGGCATAGAGGGGGACACGGGGGGATGCAGGGTACCCCACTCTCACCCTCTGCCCTGCAGGTGACGGTGCACAAGAACGACATGTGTGCCCTGCTGAACCACGCGCAGCCGCAGCAGTGGCGGGTGCTGAGCGCCGGTGGCAGCGAGGCCGTCGTGCCCTCGGTCTGCTTCCTCCTGCCACCGCCCAACAAGGAGGCTCTGGATGCCGTGCACAGGTGGGGACAGTGACCCCACGCCCCTCCCCGGGCAGCCCTGTGATCCTCCCCACTAACTCTGTGTCCCCGCAGGCTGGAGACCACCCACCAGCAGCTACTGGGGCTGTGGCAGCAGCTGTACCAGGACCTGCGCAGCCTCCGCGCCTGGCAGTACCTGACCCGGGACATCCAGCAGATCCAGTCCTGGACACACATCACGGTGAGTCCCCAGGGGTCCCAGGGCGGCACGGGGGTCCCGGGGGTTCTGGCGGGGGCTGACGTGGCCGTGCCCCCCCAGTTCCGCACGCTGCCGGCAGAGGAGGTGCGGCAGGTCCTGCGCAGCCTGGAGAGCCACTACCAGGAGTTCCTGCGGGACAGCCAAGACGCCCAGAGCTTCCAGCCTGATGACCGGCTGCAAGTGGAGCGTGACTACAACGCCTGCACCCACAAATACGAGCTGCTGCTGCGTAGCCAGGAGAAAGGTGGGTGTCCCCTCCCTGCTGTGGGTCCCTGCAGTGTCCCCAGGGTGTCCCCAGGTGCTGAGCTGTCTCCCTGTCCCCCTTCCCTGCCACGGTTCTCTGGGGTGTCACTGGGGCACTGAGCCATCCCCAGGGTGCCCCCTCCCCACTTCAGCTCCCCAGGGCATCCCTGTGGTGTCCCACGGTGTTGAGCCATCCCTGTGTTCCCCCAGGAGAGCAGGATGAGTCTCTGTGCAAGAGCTACATCTCGCAGCTGAAGGACATCCGGCTGCAGCTGGAGAGCTGTGAGAGCCGCACCGTGCACCGTCTGCGCCTGCCCCTGGACACCGACCCACTGCGCGAGTGTGCCCAGCGCCAGGCCGAGCAGCAGGTGTGTGACACGTGTGTGCAGGCGTGTGACGTGCGTGCAGCATGCATGGATCCGGACCTCGGCTCCAGGACAGGGCTGGGGGCTGACATGGAATCTCAGAATGGTTTAGTTTGGAAAAGCCTCTGAGCCCATTGAGCCCAACTGCACTCCCAGCACTGCCAGGTCAACCACTAAACCGTGTCCCCACGTGCCACATCCACACAGCTGTTAAATCCCCCCAGGGATGGGGACTCTACCCCTGCCCTGGGCAGCCTGTGCCAGGGCTGTACAGCCCTTTTTCAGAAGGAATTGTTCCCAGTATCCCATGTAAACCTCCCCTGCCCACTTGTTCTGGTGGGCTGCAGACCCTTCCCCTGATTGGCTCCTCCTCGGGTCCAGGGGGAGCAGGGGAGCATTTGGTGGGGGTTCACCCTGACCCACAGCCGGCAGGAACTGAGGGACTCCCTCCCTACAGCAAACCCACCTGGAGCTGGAGGGCATCCAGAAGAACCTGGCCAAGGTCAGTGAGAAGACGGAGCAGGTGCTGGCGCAGCCAGAACAGGCGGGCTCAGCCCCTGTCCTGCGCTCCGAGCTGGAGGTCACCCTGCGGAAGATGGAGCAGGTGTACAGCCTCTCCAGCATCTACCTGGAGAAGTGAGTGTGATCCCAGCCCTGGCACTGTGCAGCTTCTTGGAACCCTGGGCTGGGAATGGGCTTGGGCACCTGGGTGGGGCTCTGGACTTGGGGGAAGCCAGCGTGTCCTTTCCTTCCCTGTTTCCTCTTCATTTCCCTCTTTGTTTCTGTTCCCTGTTTCCATCTTCTTTCCTTCCTTTGCCTTGCCTTGCCTTGCCCTCTGCCCTTCCCTTCTTCTTTCTCCCTTTTATTTCCCTTTTCCTTCCCTCGTGTCTCTGTGCTGCCACCCTAGCTGAGCTGTCCCGCTCTCAGCTGAGCCCATCCCACTCCTGTCCCACTGCCATCCCACTCCTGTCCCACTGCCATCCCACTCCTGTCCCACTGCCATCCCACTCCTGTCCCACTGCCATCCCACTCCTGTCCTGCCCCTGGCTGATCTCTCCTCCTGCCACAGGCTGAAGACCATCGGGCTGGTGATCCGGAGCACGCAGGGGGCTGAGGAGCTGCTCCGCAAGTACGAGGAGCAGCTGAAGGACGTGCAGGCAGTGCCAGCTGACCTGGCTGAGCTGGAGGCCAGCAAGGCTGAGCTGAAGGTACTGGGGTGTTCTGGGGAGTGCCAGGGGGAGCTCGGGGAGCTGGGGCTGGCACTGACCCCTGCCCATCTGCCACAGCGGCTGCGAGCACAGGCCGAGGGGCACCAGCCCTTCTTCAGCACCCTGGAAACTGACCTTGGCAAGGCCAAGGATGTCAACGAGCGGATGGTCCGCGGCCACAGCGAGAGGGACGTGGACCTGGAGCGGTACCGGGAGCGGGTGCAGCAGCTGCTGGAGCGCTGGCAGGCCGTGCTGGGCCAGGCTGACCTGCGCCAGCGTGAGCTGGACCAGCTGGGCCGCCAGCTGCGCTACTACCGGCAGAGCTGCGATGCCCTGCGCCAGTGGATCTGCGACGCCCGGCAGCGCCAGGAGGCCATCCAGGCCGTGCCCATCACCGACACCCAGGCCGTGCGCGAGCAGCTCCTGAAGGAGAAGGTAGAGGCAGAGGCGGGACAAGGGGTGTGCCTGGCCATCCCTGGTCGCTGTGGGGCAAGGAGTGCTCCTGGTCATGCCCAGCGGGATGAGGGGTGCACCCGGCCATCCCTGGTGGTGCAGAGTGTGTGTCTGGCCATACCTGACAGGGCAAGGAGCGCACCTGGCCAAACCCAGCCCCGATGGGGTCAGGGGTGCTGTCAGCTGTCCCTGCTGCAGTGGGGTGGGGAGGGCTTTTGGGTGGCTGTGGTGGGATGAGGGATGCTCTTGTCTGTCCCTGGCTCTGTGTCAGGGCAAGGGGTGCTCTTGGCCATCCCCAGGAGGCTGAGGGGTGCTACTGGCCATTCCTACCTGTGGCGTGGCTGGGATGTGCTGGGGGCACTCTCAGGTGGCCGTGGGGTGCCTGGGCTCACCCTCACACATCTCCCCAGAAACTGCTGGAGGAATGTGAGCAGCACAAGGAGAAGGTGGAGGAGTGCCAGCGTTACGCCAAGCAGTACATCGATGCCATCAAGGTGCGCCTGCTGCCCAGGGAGCCGGGGCTGGGGGGAGGCTGGACAGGCAGTACAGTATCCCTTGGGGGACTCGGGGGTACAGTGTCAGGGCTGGGGGTCTCACCAGGGCACCCTCTCCCTGGCAGGACTATGAGCTGCAGCTAGTGAGCTTCAAGGCGCAGGTGGAGCCAATGGCTTCGCCAGCCAAGAAGCCCAAAGTGCAGTCGGCGTCTGACAGCATCATCCAGGAGGTGAGTGGGATCCCAGTGCTATGGGCCTGGGGTGCCCCATGATCATGGAGGGGTGGGCTTGGGGAGCTGCTGTGCAGACTCACCTCCGTCTGGCCCACCATTGCTGAGGGACCAGAGGACCATGGGTGTACTCCCCTCCCTTCCTCTGACCCTCTGTCTCTGCAGTATGTGGACCTGCGGACGCAATACAGTGAGCTGACCACACTCACCACCCAGTACATCAAGTTCATCACCGAGACACTCCGGCGGCTGGAAGAGGAGGAGGTAGGGAGCAGCGTGGGGCGGCATGGCCGGCTGTGTAACTGCAGGGAGCGCGGTTCACGGGGGCTCCAGCCCCACCACTAACACCAGCCTATGGCTGTGACTCTGGCCCTGGCCTCATCACTTACACTGGCCCCCGGCCATGACTCCAGCTCTGGCCCCATGACTAATGCTGCCCCATGGCTGTGACTCCAGCTCTGGACTCATTACTATCATCAGCCCAGGGCTGTGACTCTGGCCCCAGCCCTGATCACTAACACTAGCCCATGGCCATGACTCCAGCCCTGGACCTATCAATAATGCTGGCCTATGGCTGTGACTTTGGCCCCATCACTAACACTGGCCCACAGCCATGGCTCTGGCCCCAGCCCCATCACTGGCACTGGCCCATGGCTGTGACTCTGGCCACATCACTAACACTGGCCCACAGCCTCTAACTGCTCCCTGCTGGGTTCCCGGGAGTGAGGCCACTGGCTCTGGAGGGTCTTAGAGCCGAGCCTGCTCTGGTCACCGGGGGCTCTGGTGTGACTGGTGGTAGGAGGCACTTCCCAGATACACGTAGTGCAGTCAGCACCCGCCTGCGCATGCCGCTGTGCTGGGCGCCGGCCTGCGGGGTCTGGCGCGGGGTAACCTCTCTAACTCTTGGTTTCTGCCCTCGGAGCCGCTTTGCCGGTGCTTTTTCTTTGGGGATGTTTGTGTTGGTGGGGATCTAATGGAGGGTAAAAAACCAGGATGACTCTGGCAGCCCTGCACCAGGTACTCACTCTGCGCATGCCCCCTCCCTGCGGCACCCCCTGCCTTCCCCATAGCTCACCCTGTCCTCCTCTGTCCCTTCTCAGCCTCTGTGCTGCTCCTGGGATTGGGGGTCTGGCTCAGGGGTCTGACTCCCTTGCATGTGAGCTGCCTGTGCCCAGGCCCTGCGGAGCGTGCGGCTGCCTCTCTCGTGGTGCATGTGGTGTGAGCACTGTGCTCGCACCTGGAAGAGGCTGGGAGGGGTTTGAACCAGTTGGATTGCTCTCTCCATCATCGAGGCTTTCCCGGCAGGGAAACCTCTGTTGGCATCGCCCTTGCACGGCTGCCCTTTCTCCTACTCTTGGCACTCGGGCCGTCTCTTCTTCTTCGCCCACGGTGGGCGCTGTCTGTGCCGGCCCCCTGGCACAGGGAGCCGTGGTGGTGGCGTGCACGCTGTTCGCATCTGTCTCCATCGCTTGGGCTCCGCTTGCCCTCTGTCCCTTCTCTCTGGTACGTGGCCGCCTGCTTCCCATGCTGCTGTCTGGCTCCTGTCGCCTGTCTGCCTGCGCTGTTGTGTGTCCCCTGTCATGCCATGTCTTCTGGAAGCTGCCGCCATCTCGTGGGGCGGCCCAGGGGCCAAAGCCCTTCCACGTACATGCTCCAGCCCTCCACTGGCTCAGTGGGCGTGGCTTGGCCGGCACCAATGCCGCGGCGCGATCGCATCCCTTGTGATTTGTCTCTCTCTCCCCTCTCTGTCCCCTGTACCCTCTTTCCCCTCCAGAAAGCCGCCGAGAAGCTGAAGGAGGAGGAGAGGAAGCGGCTGGCGGAGGTGGAGGCGCAGCTGGAGAAGCAGCGGCAGCTGGCCGAGGCCCACGCCAAAGCCAAGGCCCAGGCGGAGGCGGAGGCACAGGAGCTGCAGCTCCGCATGCAGGAGGAGGTCACCCGGCGGGAGGTGGTGGCCGTGGATGCTGAGCAGCAGAAGCAGAATATCCAACAGGAGCTGATGCAGCTGCGGCAAAACTCAGACCACCAGATCAAGTCTAAGGTGAAGCTGATTGAGGAGGCTGAGTACAACCGCAAGAAGGTCGAGGAGGAGATCCGCCTCATCCGCCTGCAGCTGGAGAGCACTGAGAGACAGCGGGAGAGTGCTGAGACGGAGCTGCAGGAGCTGCGGGCACGCGCCGAGGAGGCTGAGCGGCAGAAGCGACAGGCGCAGGAGGAGGCCGAGCGCCTGCGCCGCCAGGTGAAGGAGGAGAGTCAGAAGAAGCGGGAGGCAGAAGAGGAGCTGAAGCGCAAGGTGCAGGCCGAGCGTGAGGCGGCGCGGGAGAAGCAGAAGGCGGTGGCGGACCTGGAGCAGCTCGGCTGCAGGCGGAGGAGGCCGAGCGGCGCATGCGGCAGGCGGAGGCCGAGAAGGAGCGGCAGATCCAGGTGGCCCAGGAGGTGGCCCAGCGCAGCGCCGAGGCCGAGCTGCAGAGCAAGCGGCTCTCCTTTGCTGAGAAGACGGCGCAGCTGGAGCTGTCGCTGCAGCAGGAGCACGATGCGGTGGCCCAACTGCAGGAGGAGGCCGAGCGGCTGAAGAGGCAGCAGCTGGAGGCTGAGCGCTCGCGGGAGGAGGCTGAGAAGGAGCTGGAGCATTGGCGGCAGAAGGCCAACGAGGCACTGCGCCTGCGGCTGCAGGCCGAGGAGGTGGCCCACAAGAAGTCGCTGGCGCAGGAAGAGGCTGAGAAGCAGAAGGAGGACGCGGAGCGCGAGGCCCGCAAGCGCGCCAAGGCGGAGGAGGCGGCCCTGCGGCAGAAGGAGCTGGCGGAGGAGGAACTGGAGAAGCAGCGGGAGCTGGCGGAGGGCACGGCCCAGCAGAAGCTGGCGGCGGAGCAGGAGCTGATCCGACTGAAGGCAGAGATGGAGAATGGGGAACAGCAGCGCCTGCTCCTGGAGGAAGAGCTCTCGCGGCTGAAGAGCGAGGTGAACGAGGCCATCCAGAGGAGGAAGGAGCTGGAGGAGGAGCTGGCCAAGCTGCGGGCCGAGATGGAGGTCCTACTGGAGAGCAAGGCCAAGACAGAGGAGGAGTCGCGCTCCAGCAGTGAGAAGACAAAGCAGCGGCTGGAGGCGGAGGCCAGCAAGTTGCGGGAGCTGGCTGAGGAGGCCGCCCGCCTGCGTGCCCTCTCTGAGGAAGCCAAGCGGCAGCGACAGCTGGCAGAGGAAGAGGCCGGCCGGCAGCGGGCCGAGGCCGAGCGCATCCTGAAGGAGAAGCTGGCGGCCATCAATGAGGCTTCACGGCTGAAAGCGGAGGCAGAGATTGCGCTGAAGGAGAAGGAGGCGGAGAACGAGCGTCTGCGGCGGCTGGCGGAGGACGAGGCCTACCAGCGCAAGCTGCTGGAGGAGCAGGCGGCTCAGCACAAGCAGGACATCGAGGAGAAGATCGCCTTGCTGAAGCGCTCCTCCGAGAGTGAGCTGGAGCGGCAGAAGGGGCTGGTGGAGGACACGCTGCGGCAGCGGAGGCAGGTGGAGGAGGAGATCCGCGCACTTAAGGCCAGCTTCGAAAGGGCGTCAGCTGGAAAGAGCGAGCTAGAGCGGGAGCTAAACCGCATCCGTGGGGAGGCGGAGGAGGTGCAGCGCAGCCGGGAGCAGGCGGAGCGGGAGGCTGAGAGGCAGCGGGCACTGGCACTGGAGGAGGAAGGCCGGCGGCGCGAGGCCGAGGAGAAGGTTCAGGCCATCCTGGCGGCTGAGGAGGAGGCTGGGCGGCAGCGGCGATTGGCCTTGGAGGAGGTGGAGCGGTTGCGGGCCATGGTGGAAGAGGCGCGGCGGCAGAAGGAGCTGGCCGAGAAGGAGTCGGAGCGGCAGATCCAACTGGCACGGGAGGCGGCGCAGAAGCGGATCGCGGCGGAGGAGAAGGCTCACCTGGCCGCCGTGCAGCAGAAGGAGCAGGAGCTGCTGCAGACGCGGCAGCAGGAGCAGAGCCTCCTGGACCGGCTGCGTGAGGAGGCCGAACGGGCCCGGCGGGCTGCCGAGGAGGCTGAGTTTGCCCGTGGCAAGGCCGAGCAGGACGCCAGCCTGTCCCGGCAGCGTGTGGAGGAAGCCGAGCGGCTGAAGCAGCGGGCAGAGGAGGAGGCACAGGCCAAGGCGCAGGCACAGGCGGACGCAGAGAAGCTTCGGAAGGAGGCTGAGCTGGAGGCAGCGAAGCGGGCGCAGGCGGAGCAGGCGGCCCTGCGGCAGAAGCAGCTGGCCGACGCCGAGATGGAGAAGCACAAGAAATTTGCTGAGCAGACGCTGCGGCAGAAGGCGCAGGTGGAGCAGGAGCTGACCAAGGTGAAACTGCAGCTGGATGAGACAGACCATCAGAAGGGCATCCTGGACGAGGAGCTGCAGCGGCTGAAGGAGGAGGTGACGGATGCCGTCCGGCAGAAGGCCCAGGTGGAGGAGGAGCTCTTTAAGGTCCGGGTGCAGATGGAGGAGCTGGCCAAGCTGAAGAACCGGATTGAGGAGGAGAACAAGCTGCTGATCCTCAAGGACAAGGACAACACACAGAAGTTCCTGGCGGAGGAGGCTGAGAAGATGAAGCAGGTGGCAGAGGAGGTGGCTCGGCTGAGTGTGGAGGCGCAGGAGGCCGCCCGCTTGCGGCAGCTGGCTGAGGATGACCTGGCACAGCAGCGGGCACTGGCGGAGAAGATGCTGAAGGAGAAGATGCAGGCGGTGCAGGAGGCCACACGGCTGCGGGCCGAGGCTGAGGTGCTGCAGAAACAGAAGGACCTGGCGCAGGAACACGCCAAGCGGCTGCAGGAGGACAAGGAGCAGATGCAGCAGCGCCTGGCTGAGGAGACCGAAGGCTTCCAGAAGACACTGGAGGCCGAGCGTCGGCGGCAGTTGGACATCACGGCTGAGGCTGAGCGCCTCAAAGTGCAAGTGGCGGAGATGAGCATGGCCCAGGCCAAGGCTGAGGAGGAAGCCAAGCGGTTCAAGAAGCAGGCAGAGGAGATCAGTGAGAGGCTGCATGAGACAGAGCTGGCCACGCAGGAGAAGATGACGCTGGTGCAGACCCTGGAGATCCAGAGGCACCAGAGCGATGAGGATGCGGAGAAGCTGCGGAAGGCCATTGCCGACCTGGAGAAGGAGAAGGAGAAGCTGAAGCAGGAGGCAGCACTACTGCAGCAGAAGGCAGAGGAGGTACTGGGCTGTGGGTCCCCCTTAGCAGTGGTGGTACACAGGGAGGCCGTCCCTCTCCCCAGTCACCCCACACCATCCCTGGCCAGGTCCCCAGGGACCATCACTGGGGATGGTGGGGCAGGACCCCCTATGAGGGTCAAGGATGCCCCCTTCAGTTGGGGGCACTGAAGCAAACCCCACAGGCAGTGTTGGAGCGGGACCCCCAGCCTATCTCCTGCTGTGGACAGGGGATCCCCACCACCCGGGCCGGCTCTTTGGTCCCGTGGTATGTCCTGCCATGTTCTGTGCCCAGTTCCCATCCTCGGTGCTGGAGGATCCCTTGTGTCCTCCCCCTGTTTGTCCTGCCCTGTGCTGTGTGTGCGGCTCCCTAACCCCAGCTCTGCTCTTTAACTCTTACCCAATATAGCGGAGTGTGTGGGTGACTCTGTGTTCCCTGGTGCCACCCCTGCTCCCCATGCCCCATCCCCCCCACCCTCAGTCCTCCCCACTGCCCTCCTGGGTGTCTGACCACACTGTCCTCTCTCCCACCCCAGATGCAGGTGGCCCAGCAGGCTCAACTCCGTCAGGAGACACAGCTCCTCCAGCAGAGCTTCCTGACGGAGAAGGATGCCCTGCTGCAGAAGGAGAAGTTCATTGAGGAGGAGAAATTGAAGCTGGAGAAGCTCTTTAAGGATGAGGTGAACAAAGCCCAGAACCTGAAGGCAGAGCAGGAGAGGCAGCAGCAGGAGATGGAGCAGGAGAAGCAACAGTTGAAAGCCATGTTGGATGAAGCCAAGAAGCATCAAAAAGAAGCTGAGGAAAATGTCCGGCACAAGCAGGAGGAGCTGCAGCAGCTTGAGAGGCAGAGGCAGCAGCAGGAGAAACTTCTGGAAGAGGAGAACAAGAAGCTGAGGGAGAGGCTTGAGCAGATGCAGGAGGAGTACAAGGCAGCCCTGGCCCAGAGACGGGAGATCATGATCCAGACGGACGACCTGCCCGGGGAGGCTGCAGTTACGACGACACAGCTGCTGGACATGAAGGCTGTGCCCAACGGCCGGGACGCGATGGACGGCTTAGCTCAGAATGGGGAGCCAGAGTTTGCTTTCGACGGCATTCGGCAGAAGGTGTCAGCAGAGAAGCTGGCTGATGCTGGCATTCTGAGCAGAGAGAACTTGGACAAGTTGTCGAAGGGAGCTGTGAGTGTGGGCGAGCTCTCGCAGAGGGAGGACATCAAGAAGTACCTGCAAGGCAAGAGCAGCATTGCTGGTTTGCTGATCAAACCCACTAACCAGAAGATGAGCATCTACGAAGCCATGAAGAAGAAGCTGCTCAGCCCAGGCACAGCGCTGGTGCTTCTGGAGGCTCAGGCTGCCTCTGGCTTCATCATCGATCCTGTGCGGAATGTGAGGCTCTCGGTGAATGAGGCGGTGCGAGAGGGTGTGATCGGGCCAGAGCTGCACAACAAGATGCTGTCGGCTGAGCGGGCTGTCACCGGCTACAAGGATCCATATACAGGGGACAAGATCTCCCTCTTCCAGGCCATGACGAAGGATCTCATCGTCAGGGATCATGGCATCCGCCTGCTCGAGGCCCAGATCGCCACCGGTGGCATCATCGACCCCGTGCACAGCCACCGCCTGCCCGTGGAAGCAGCCTACAAACGTGGCTACTTCGATGAGGAGATGAACCAGGTCCTGTCTGATCCCACTGATGACACCAAGGGCTTCTTTGATCCCAACACTCAGGAGAACCTCACCTACCTGCAGCTCATGGAGCGGTGTGTGACTGACCCGGACACAGGGCTGTGCCTCCTGCCACTCACTGACCAGGCAGCCAAAGCGAGGGAGCTGGTCTACACTGACAAGGAAGCCAAGGACGTCTTCAAGAAGGCCACGGTGACAGCGCCATTTGGCAAGTTCCAAGGGAAGACAATGACCATCTGGGAGCTCATCAACTCTGAATACTTCACTGAGGACCAAAGGCGAGACCTGATCCAGCAGTACAGGACTGGCAAGATCACAGTGGAGAAGATCATCAAGATCATCATCACGGTTGTGGAGGAAAGCGAGAAAAAGAGCCAGATGTGCTTTGAGGGCCTGCGGGCGCCCGTGCCCGCTGCTGAGCTGCTGGAAAGCAAAATCATCAACAAGGACCTCTACAACCAACTGCACCAGGGCAAGAAATCCGTGAAAGATGTGGCAGAGATGGAGTCTGTGCAGCAGTACCTGAAGGGCACAGATGCCATTGCCGGTGTCCTGGTGGAGTCAACGGGCCAGAAGCTCACCTTCTATGAGGCCTTGAAGAGAAACCTGCTGAAGCCAGAGGTTGCCCTCTCCCTGCTGGAGGCACAAGCTGCCACTGGCTACATCATTGACCCCGTGGGGAACAAGCTCTTCTCTGTGGACGAGGCAGTGAAGGCTGAGGTGGTGGGACCAGAGTTCCACGAGAAGCTGCTGTCGGCGGAGAAGGCGGTGACCGGCTACAAGGATCCCTACACAGGCCAGACGGTTTCCCTCTACCAAGCGCTCAAGAAGGGTCTCATCCCCAGTGACACTGGGCTCCGGCTGCTGGACGTCCAGCTTGCCACTGGCGGCATCATCGACCCTGTCAAGAGCCACCGGCTCCCACTCGAGGTCGCCTACAAGCGCGGCTACTTCGACCCGGAGATAAACGAGGCTCTGACTGAGCTCCGAGATGACGCCAAGGCTTTCTACTGCCCCAACACCCAGGAACACCTCACCTATGCCCAGCTGCAGAAGAGCTGCCACCGTGATAAGCAGACTGGCCTGTGCCTGCTGCCCCTCTCTGACAAGGCCATCCAGTCGCAGCAGGAGGAGGTCTACACAGACAGCCAGGCCAAGGAGTGCTTTGACAAGACCACCATAGAGGTGCCAGTGGGCAGCATGAAGGGCCGGACGATGACCATCTGGGATCTGATCCACTCTGAGTACTTCACAGAGGAGCACAGGCGGGAGCTCCTCCGACAGTACAAAACCGGCAAAGTGACCATCGAAAAGATCATCAAGATCGTGATCACCATCATTGAGGAGGTGGAGACCAAAAAGCAGGAGAAGCTGACGTTCAGTGGTCTGCGGGCGCCAGTGCCGGCCAGCGAGCTGCTGGAGTCCCGCATTATCAGCAAGGCCCAGTACGAGCAGCTGAAGGAAGGCAAGAAGACGGTGAAGGACCTCTCTGAGACAGATGCAGTGAGGAGGTTCCTGCATGGTGGTGGCTGCATTGCTGGCGTCTATGTGGAGGCCACCAAGGAGAAGCTGAACATCTACGAGGCCATGAAGAGAAACCTGCTGATGCCCAGCACCGCTGCAGTCCTCCTGGAGGCCCAGGCAGCCACTGGGTTCTTGATTGATCCCGTGAAGAACCGTAAACTGTACGTCAACGAGGCGGTGAAGGCTGGTGTTGTTGGGCCTGAGCTACACGAGAAGCTGCTGTCAGCTGAGAAGGCTGTCACCGGCTACAAGGACCCCTACTCGGGCGACACCATCTCCCTCTTCCAGGCCATGAAGAAAGGGCTCATTGTCAGGGATCACGGCATCCGCCTGCTCGAGGCCCAGATCGCCACCGGTGGCATCATCGACCCCGTGCACAGCCACCGCCTGCCCGTGGAGGTGGCCTACCAGCGCGGCTACTTCGATGAGGAGATGAACCGGACGCTCTCCGACCCCACTGATGACACCAAGGGCTTCTTTGACCCCAACACTCAGGAGAACCTCACCTATCTGCAGCTGAAGGAGAGGTGCATCGAGGATCCCGAGACGGGCCTGTACCTGCTGCCTCTGCGGGAGCCCGAGAAGCCAAAAGTGGTGGAGACCACCCAGCTTTACACAGAGGCAGAGACACGGAAGGTGTTTGAGGAGACGCAGGTGGACATCCCTGTGGGGAGCCGGGCGGGCTCCTCCATGTCGCTGTGGGAGATCATGCACTCGGACCTGCTGCCCGAGGAGCAGCGGAAACAGCTCATGGAGGAGTTCCAGTCAGGCCGCGTGTCCAAGGAGCGCATGATCATCATCATCATCGAGATCATCGAGAAGACTGAGATCATCCGGCAGCAGAACCTCATGTCCTATGACTACGTCCGGCGCCGCATCACGGCTGAGGACCTCTACGAGGCCAAGATTATCTCTCAGGACATTTACAACCTGCTGAAGCAGGGCTCCAAAACCTTCCGGGAGCTCCTGGAAGTGGAGACTGTCTGGAAATACCTCTATGGGTCAGGCTGTGTGGCTGGCATCTACATCCCCTCCTCCAAGCAGACACTCAGCATCTACCAGGCACTGAGGAAAGGGCTGATCAACTCTGAAGTGGCCCGCTCTCTCCTGGAGGCCCAGGCAGCCACCGGCTTCATGATCGACCCAGTGAAGAATGAGATGCTGACGGTCGATGAGGCAGTCAGGAAGGGCGTGGTGGGGCCTGAGATCCACGACCGGCTCCTGTCTGCAGAGAGAGCTGTGACCGGCTACAGGGATCCCTACAGCGAACAGAAGATCTCCCTCTTCCAGGCCATGAAGAAGGATCTCATTCCCAGCGAAGAGGCCCTCAAGCTCCTGGACGCCCAGATCGCGACTGGCGGTGTCATCGACCCACACCTGGGCTTCCACCTGCCCCTGGAGGTGGCCTACCAGCGGGGCTTCATCAACAAGGAGACGTACGACATGCTCTCGGAGCCCAGCGAGGTGCGCAGCTACGTGGACCCTTCCACGGATGAGAAGCTCAGCTACACACAGCTGCTGAAGCGCTGCCGGAAGGATGAGAACTCCAGGCTCCTCCTGCTCCCGCTCTGTGACACACGGAAACTCACCTTCCGGGGGCTGCGGAAGCAGATCACTGTGGAGGAGCTTGTCCGTTCGCAGGTGATGGATGAAGCCACAGCCCAGCGCCTTCAAGAGGGCCTCACCTCCGTTGAGGAGGTCTCCAAGAACCTCAAGAAGTTCCTGGAGGGCACCAGCTGCATTGCTGGCGTCTTTGTGGACTCTACAAAGGAGCGTCTGTCTGTCTACCAGGCCATGAAGAAGGGGATCATCCGGCCTGGCACTGCCTTCGAGCTCCTGGAGGCGCAGGCAGCCACGGGCTATGTGATCGACCCCATCAAGGGCCTCAAGCTGACAGTGGAGGAAGCTGTGCGGATGGGCATCGTGGGCCCCGAGTTTAAGGACAAGCTGCTCTCTGCCGAGAGGGCCGTCACCGGCTACCGGGACCCTTACACTGGAAAGCTTATCTCCCTCTTCCAGGCCATGAAGAAGGGTCTGATCCTGAAGGACCACGGGATCCGCTTGCTGGAGGCGCAGATCGCCACGGGAGGCATCATTGACCCCGAGGAGAGCCACCGTCTGCCCGTGGAGGTGGCCTACAAGAGGGGCCTCTTTGACGAGGAGATGAATGAGATCCTGCTGGACCCCAGCGATGACACCAAGGGCTTCTTTGACCCCAACACAGAGGAGAACCTCACCTACCTGCAGCTCATGGAGCGGTGCATCACTGACCCAGAGACCGGCCTCTGCCTCCTGCCCCTGAAGGAGAAGAAGCGGGAGAGAAAGACTTCTTCCAAGTCCTCCGTCCGCAAGCGTCGGGTGGTGATCGTCGACCCGGAGACGGGCAAGGAGATGTCTGTCTATGAAGCCTATCGCAAGGGCCTCATTGACCACCAGACCTACCTGGAGCTGTCAGAGCAGGAGTGCGAATGGGAAGAAATCACCACCTCCTCCTCCGATGGTGTGGTGAAGTCAATGATCATTGACAGGCGCTCAGGGCGCCAGTATGACATCGACGATGCCATCAGCAAGGGCCTGATTGACCAGTCGGCCCTGGACCAGTACCGCTCAGGCACCCTCTCCATCACCGAGTTTGCTGACATGCTCTCCGGCAACATGGGTGGCTTCCGGTCGCGGTCATCCTCAGTGGGATCCTCCTCCTCCTACACTACTGTCAGCCCAGCCCTGACACGGACCCAGATCTCCATGTGGACCGACCCAACTGAGGAGACCGGGCCAGTGGCGGGCATCCTGGACACAGACACTCTCGAGAAGGTGTCCATCACAGAGGCGATGCGCCGCAACCTGGTAGACAACATCACGGGGCAGCGGCTGCTGGAGGCCCAGGCCTGCACTGGGGGCATCATCGACCCCAGCACTGGCGACAAGTGCTCCGTCGCTGACGCAGTCAACAAGGGCCTGGTTGACAAGATCATGGTGGACCGCATCAACCTGGCACAGAAGGCCTTCTATGGCTTCGAGGACCCGCGGACCAAGACGAAGATGTCGGCGGCACAGGCGCTGAAGAAGGGCTGGCTGTACTATGAGGCTGGGCAGCGGTTCCTGGAGGTGCAGTACCTGACAGGGGGCCTGATCGAGCCCGACACTGCGGGCCGTGTCTCCCTGGATGAGGCACTGCAGAAGGGCACCATTGATGCACGCACCGCCCAGAAGCTGCGGGATGTCAATACCTACTCCAAGTACCTCACCTGCCCTAAGACCAAGCTCAAGATCTCCTACAAGGACGCCATGGACCGGAGCATGATCGAGGATGGGACCGGCCTGCGGCTGCTGGAGGCCTCCTCCCAGTCCAGCAAGGGCTACTACAGCCCCTACAATGTCAGCAGTGCCGGCTCCACCTCTGGATCCCGCTCAGGCTCCCGCACCGGCTCCCGCTCAGGCTCCCGGCGCGGCAGCTTCGATGCCACCAGCTCCGGCTTCTCTATGACCTTCTCTTCCTCATCCTACTCCTCCTCAAGCTTCGGGCGCAGATATGCCGTGGGTCCCCAGGGCGCTGTGGAGGCAGCTGCTCTAGCCCTTGCCCTCACCCTGGCTGCATCTGGGAGCTGTGGGCAGGAGGCGAGCGGGGAGCACCCCGGGGTGTGTGGGCCTCCACTCCACGTGGCCTGAGACCTGCCAGCTCCCTGAGGCGCTGCCTCACCCGCTCCGCATGTGGTAACGCTGCTGGCTAATCACTAGTATATTTTTTAATTTTGAACCTCCACTCTTCTCCCAAAGCAGTGCCTCGAGTTTAACCAAAAAGACAAGACTAATAAATTAATATATGCGAATGTGCTGACAGTGTTTGTATATTAAGAGATAAGACAAAACACACACTACCACCCTCCCTGTCCTGTGCCCTGGGAGCTGAATGCCATTCCAGGCCCCGGCTGCGCAGCCTCCGCTGCCGCTCACACACGGTGCGGTCGAGCCGGACACCAGGAAAACAGTTCCCTGTTTGGATCTAACCACTTAGCACTCTTTTGTAATTATCCTGCCGGCTTCAACCCCCGCACCCCAAAGGAGGAGATGACCCTGGCTTCATGGTGCACCACACTGCAGCTGGCATGCCGGAGGAGGACATCGCGGGCTCCCCGGCACCAGACAGCCAGACACACCACGCCGGCCCTGGAGCTGCTGCCTGGACCCCTTCCACCCACCCTCAGCGTGGCGAGGAGGGGCTCTGCGCCCAGCCCCCCAGCTGCCCCATCTCCCTGCCTTGGCCTCCCGGCACGTCCCGCCACTGCACCGCGGAGCCGGTGCCCTGACCGTAAGTGCCGCGCTGGTGCTGCCCGGTGCTTCTGCGCCACGCGGGGGGACCTGCCTCCGCTCCGCCGCTTCGCCCGCCGAGGGGCTTCGCTGCGCGCCTGCCTCCGCCAGCCCACCCGCTCACCCGCCCTCCGGGACTCTCCCGCCGTGGCCGGCCAGTCTGTCTGTCTGTCTCTCCGTGTATCTGGGAAGTGCTTCCACTCGAGGTTGATTTCCTCATGCTGATGTGGCTCCATGCCCCGTTGGCAGGTGTCCACCGGAACCCACACCCCAGCCCGGTTCCATGTGGCTCCTGTGCCCAGAGCCCCCCTGGCCATGGGGACTTTCCCGACCCTATGAGAGGTGCGGGGGCCCCAGGACCCCTGGAACATGGGGTGGGCCGTGGGATGCTGCAGCAGCCCGGAACATGCTTTTGTTAGAAAATGGTGAAATTCTGTAAAAGCAGCCTCCTCTTCCTTCCTCACGGTAATTCCAACCCCCTGTCCCCGGCTCTCCCTGCGCCTGCAGTAACGCACTCTCTCTCTGGCAGACGTCTTTTTCCAGTCCCACCAAAGATGTCCCGGTGCCGCTGGGTGAGCTCCTGAGCTGGGTCTCCGACATCAGCAGGTCGTGGATGGGCTCGAAGGGAGCCTGGGTGGCTGCAGCTGCTCGGCCGCGCTCACCGGCACAGGTAATGCCAAGCTCCCCGCTCTGTCCCGGTCCTGCAGCGGTCCTGCTGGCCGGGTCATCTCATGGATCGTTCTCCCTGTCTCATCCCATCTTTTCTGTTCGCTTTGTTGTAGTGTGGCTGGATGTCCATCTCACCTCCCCTCATCGCTGCCACAGAGCCTGTCCCCTGCCCCGGGGCCTGTTGGACCGCGCCTGAGGACACGGGGATGTGCTCCCTCGCCCTTTGCACTTGCCAGAGTCCCCGGGCAGAGACTGGGGCTGCAATGCCTGGGCAGCCAGCGGCCCAAGAGGCACCCGCGGGGTCACTCAATCCCTCCTCGCCCTGCACATCCCCTCCTCCCCAGGGACAGCCTCCCGGCGCGGTGCTGGGCTCACCGCGGATCTCCACGGCATCTCCTTCTTCCCCCCTGCTCTCATCTGCCCCCTGTAAATCCAGTCATGTTACCCTCCGCCTCCGGTGTCGTTATTGCTCTCATTATCCCGTTTGGCTTTGCATGAAGCGCTGCTGCACGCGGCTCCGGGATGCTCCCTGCTCCCTGGGGCCCCCCATGCCCCGACCATCACTCATCAGGGCATCGGGGGCCCATCGATTACCCAAACCAGTGTTTTGGGGGCAAAACACTAAAATCCTGACCTGTACATACCGCAAAGTGTCTGTAAAAGGAGCAGTGTGGACCCAGGGCTCCCCTGCAAGGGCAGTAAAGGAGAATCCTCTGAAACCAGCTGGCAGCTCTGCGTGGTCTGTTTGCCCCTCCAGCCTTGCCACCGTGGCTGTGGGCTGGGGGTGTCCGCTGCCTTCTGTGGCTTTGTGCCGTGGGCTGCTGGTGCTGCCGTGGGTCATGGTGGAATGTGCGGGGGAACAGTGGGTCTGACTGGCTCCTGGCACAGGTGCTTCACCTGTGGGCTGGGCCTCGGTATCCCCACAGTGCTACCGGGCACGGAGCAGGGCCGCAGGGGTGTCCCCAGGGCTGTCCCGGGCTGGTGGCACAGCCGGCACTGCCAGGAGGTGAGTGTGGATGCAGCCCCTGGCCAGGAGATCCCTGGTTTTGGGGAGTGAGCACTGCTGGGACTGTGAGGGCTGTAGGGGCTTCCGAGGCTGCATCTCTCCCATGGGGACAGACCCCTTCCGGCCCCATCAGTGGGGCTCTGGGCACGGCAGGGACACTGCCCCCCATGGCACTCTTCCTTGTGCCCGTGGGTGCCGTTACCACTGCTAGTCGAGGGCTGTACCCACTGGTCCCATGGCCTCTGCCCAGTGCAGGCTGTGCCCTCCCTTTTCAGGCAGTGAGCTGTTGTGGGCAGATGGCAGCAGTTTGCTGTGAGGATGAGGGGCTGGAGGGGATCAGGGTGTGCTGGCGGCTAACAGGGCAGCAGCACTTGGGAGGGACAACCCCAACAAACCAGGAAATGTTAGTGCAGCTGCCAGCGCAGGTGTGGGTGGCTCAAGGTGGGCCAGGTGTCACCCTCTGTCCAGCCTGGTGAGCCAGGTGTCACCCTCTGCCCAGGCTGGGGCTCCCTGAGCAGGAAGCTCATCCTGTGGCAGTGCCAGGAGCACTGGGCACCACACTGGGAGTGCTGGAGCTGTCCAGGCCCTTGCGGGACCACTGTGATGTCCAGGGGCCGGTGAGGTCTCACTGTGCCAGCAGCAGCTGAGCATGTCCACCCTGGCAGCAGCCCTGAAGGGGGAGGCCGGGCTGTCCAGGACAGATGGCGATGGCTGGGAGGACGTTAATTGCATTGTCCGTCTGCAATTAACCACATCTGTCCCCACCGGCAGTGGGATGTGGCTGTTGGGCACAGCAGGGCCAGGGGGACAGGGGGGCTTGCAGGCTCAGGAGGGATCCCAGGGCAGCAATGACATTCCCTGAGGTGTCGTGGGCTGCCCAGGACCACACCACATTTCACTCCAGATATTCCCTGTGTCCCCCGGACCTTTCCTGCTCCCCCAAACGTTCCCTACTCCCCGCACCTTCCTGATCCTCTTCTCCTACTCCGCTCCCCAGCCAGTCACCCCTCCCAAAGCTCATGAGGCCATCAAGAGCCCTCTTCTGGCCCAGTGCTAAGCCCCATGGCCCAGGCCCACGTCACCACTTGACACTGGTGGGGTTCAGCTCTGGTCCCTGGTGAGAGACGCCCCCAATCCTGGGCCCCACCACGGGACCTGCATCCACATGACAGAGGAGATCCCACCCCCTACGCACCCTTTCCCACACCCCCTCAGCCCTGTGCCCCTGGCATGGGGACCCTCCCCTGTGTGCCCGGGGTGCTGGGATCCTTCCACCTTGTCTGGCAAACGGGCACAGGAGATGGGGATGCCCCGAGATCTGGGCTGTCTGCTCCCAAGTGCCGTGGGGTGAGCATGCAACTCCCAACCCAGCATAGTGTCTTTTTTCCATGGACCTTCTCCATTGGCTCGTCCTGTGCCCTGAGACCTCCCCATCACTCTTAAAGCCCCTTCAGCACCACGTGCTGTGAGTGACCAGGCTGGTGTGTAACCGGGCCAAGCTTGTCACGATGGAGAACTCCATGACATTCCCGATTTTAATGGCCTGCAGTTCATCCCGTCCCGCTGCCGTGCGGCTCGGAGCTCACCCTCCTCGCCCCCCTCGAGCTAAACCATCCCTCAGCATTAACACCGAGGGCCATAGCATGTGAGGCACCGAGTGCGGCCCTGGCCGTGGTGCCGATCAGCCCTGGAGGGGTCCGTCGCCCCCCGCCCGGCGCACATCGGCATAGGCCGCCCGCCCGTCACGGTGCGAGCGGCAGCACTGCCCCGTCCTGGCCGCGGTCCGGTGCTTGGGACCCGTGGCCGTCGTCCCAAGCGTGGCCGCGGCAGTCGGCTCGGCTGCCAGCTCTCTGTGCCACCGCCCCGGGCACTGCTGGCTCGGCCCCCGCCGCGCCGGGAACGCTCTGTACAGCTCCTCCACAAAGCTGGAAAGGCCTCTCCCACGCCCCCCCGTCGCCGGGGCGCTGAACCTCCTCATGGGCAGGGACCCTGAGACCCCCCGGCCGCGCCGCTGGGGCTCGGAGCCCGGCTGCGTTGGCCAAGGGCAGCTCTGCCTCGCGTAGTCACCGGCAACTCTGTGGCCCGTCGGGTCTGTGCTGGATTCACCGGCGTTGGCAGGGCCGGTGAATCCCCCCGTCCGTGGCGCGGGGCTCAGGGGTGCGAGTGGGGACGGTTCTGCCCCCAGGGCTGCAGCCACCACGTCCTGCGGGGTACCGGAAGCCCCCAGGCTGGGCACAGGGCCAGGGTGACGCGGTGGGGACAGCGGCGGTGCCGTGTGGGCAGCGCGGTACGGGGACCTGCCTCCCTCCGCGGCACTGTGGAGCTGCTGACGGGCAGCTCCAGATCTGTTTGTTCCTGCCGTCTTGTCCCCGGGCGAACGGCGCAGCCCGAGGTATCTGATGCCCGAGCCAGGGCTGGGGGCTGCTCCGGACCCACCGCCAGCGTGCCGGGGCAGGCGGCGGCTGCGGAACCCTCTCAGGCACGTGCCGCACTCAGCACCTCGGTGTCCCGGCGCCTGTTTGGGGTTCGGGGCTCCTCATGGTCTTTTGGCACGTCCCCAGGATCGGAGCGGCCGGTGCAGCCGCGCCGGCGCCGTGTCTGGGACAGGCTCGCAGCGATCGCCGGGGCTTCATCCTCGGCTCCATCTCTGCCAACTTGGACTGAGTTTGGGCTGGAAGAACGTTTCCCACTGCAGATGCTGTTGTCGTCTGCCCACCTGCGGCAGCATCCTCCAGCTCCCCGGTTCCCTGTGCCCAACCTCTTGTAGCAGGGCACCGCGGTCCTGTCCTGGGATGAGGACTCACAGTGGGGCACACGGAACCAGGAAGCAGGATGCTGGTGGTGGCTTGACCAGTTGGCGGGGGAGCACTGGCGGGGGTGCCAGTGCCGAGGGCAGGTGGCCACACTGAGAGCGTGTCGGGCGGGGGGACCCTGCCGTGGCTGATGGCATCGTGCCCGCAGGGTCAGCCGTGAATGCGCAGTCCCGGAGCGTCTCCGAAGGGACCGAGCCCTGCCGGCACTCCGACCACGCGGGACTGCTGCGGCACCGGCACCTAACACCTATCTGATGCCGCTTCCCCTCGTTCCAGGAATTCCCTACTGCTCCTGCGGGGGTTCCTGACCAGACCCTGCCCGCGGCTCCTTCCGAAACAGCCGCATCCAGCACACACCCACAGCAAGTCTGTGGATGACTGTGCCCCGTTTCCCTCCTGTTATCCCCAGACGCATCTCCCCCTCGTTGTGCTCGGCCAGGTGATCTGGCTTAATTAATCACCTAGGTTAACGACGAGTTAATTGCAGGGCTCCCTGTGCTCTCGGGAGCAGCATTGTCCTCAGATTTGGGAGCGGGGGCGGTGCGATTCCTCCTGCTAGCCCCACCCTCCGCAGGGGCACGGAGTAGGTGCTGCTTGTTCATGCCCCGTCTCTGTAACTGCGCCGAGGTGTTGCTGGGTTTTAGATCTCGGTGTTTGCCCGCTGTCACCTCCCACACGTTGCGGAAAAGCGACCGTGCTCGCAGCACCGAAGCCGGCAGCGGCTGGTGTGGGTGTCAGCGCTCCGTGTCAGTGCAGTGGATTTTCCATGGGTGGGTTTGTCGCGGATCAGTTTTCCATTGTTCAAGTTGCCATGGGTCAATTTGCCGTGGCTTGGTTTGGGCTCAGCCAGGCACCGGACCGTGACTCTGCAGTGCACAGAGCAGGTGTAGGGACTCTGGGGACCAGATGGAGCCCAAGGGCTGCAGGGTGAGATCTGGGAGTGATCCCGGGTGAAAAAGGGTCGGGAAATTGGGGAGCGCTGCAGGAATGCAGAGGAAGCGGAGCAGAGCCCAAACCCGCAGGTACCGGTGACGGCTGGAGCAAGGACAGAGGTCAGAGGTCTCAGGCAGGGGAGCTTTGCCCCGGCGGGTGAGGACGGGCCGTCCCTGGGGAAACACAGCGACGCTGCAAGACCTCCGCACCTCTGGTGTTCCAGGGGGGAAGGCTGTGGAGCCTCGTCCCCTGACGAGTCCTGGGTGTCCCATCCCCACCGTCCCTCTGCTCTCCCTGCAGACGCACCGCACTGCGAGGGACACCAGGCTCGCCGGGGAGAGCGTGCAGGGGTCATCACCGGATGGGGAGGACATAGAGAGGTACGGGCACCACTGGGCACCATTGAACACACCGTATCGGGGCCTGTGGGTGTGCCTGGGTGCCTACACCGTGACGGGGGAGCTGAGAGGAACCTGCATCGCCCAGAGGTCTGGGTCAGCGCCGGGATGGGGAGGGCGCGGTTCGGCTTTGCCCTGGAGAGCAGGGTGGGAACGGGCGCAGCCGTGAGCGCTGGTGTGGCCTTGACGCCCTTGGCAGGGTCTTCTGTGAGTGCGCAGTGAGGCCGGGGCTCAGCGTGGTGTGGGCAGGTGGGACAGCAGCCATGTCCCCTACTCTGTATTAGTGTCCCCGCTCTCTCCCCAGAGCCCGGCCGCGGTCAGAACGGAATCTGGAGGTGCAGGAGCAGCTGCTGGCCCTGCGGCACTGGCTGGACGCAGTGGAGAAGCGGCTGACGATTCTGCCGGAGCCCGGCACGGCCCCACAGGTAACGTCTGGCCCTGGGCTGCAGCCGGGTCGCGCGGAGCTGGGCAGGACCAGTTCACGTCTGTACCGAGGCCGGTGAGGTCTTAGTCCCTGGAAGGCTTAGTCCCGGTCATAGCCGGCTGGGAGACCCTTCGGCACAGCCCCACGGCCGGCTGGGAGACCCCTAGGCTCGTCCCCACAACGAGCCGGTGTCAGGCCATCCGTCCCCGGCTCCTGCTCCCCAGCCTGGCGGTGCTGTTGGCTCGGAGCCCGTGGGCCCCGTGGCCCTACCAGTACCCGCAGCATCGCTGCCTCGGAGCCCCGCTGGCCGCAGGGCCACCGACTGCACCGGGCTCAGCTGCGGCTCCGGGCACCACTGCCTGGGCACGGGGGTGCGGCTGTGAGAGGGGTGTTGGGCTGTGCACGAGGGATGCGCGGCCAAGCACGGGCTGTGCGGCCGTGCCCGCTGTGCCCCTGCCCAGGCGAGGAGCCGCGGTGGGGGCTGCCGGCGGCCCCTCCGCGCAGCCCCTCGCCGGCTCCTTTTGTTCGGAGCCTGGCCGGCACACGGGCTCCCTCGGCACACATGACGGCACAAACTGAAAGGGCCATTCATCCCGGCCTCGGAGCAGACAAAGCCGAGGCCGCGCAGAAACCCACCCGGCTCCCGGGATCTGAGGCTGCGGATTCCAGCCGACCGCTCCCGCCCGGTGCCCCGCGCCGGGCTCCCCTGCCCGGGGCGCCCGTGCCACCCCGAGCCCGGTACCTGGGGCTGCGGAGCGTGCCGGGCAAGCTGCCGGCAGACAGCTCGGCGGATCGTCACCCCTTGGCCAGGTCCTGCCTGGCGGGTCCCGCCTGGGCCCCGTGGGGTGCTGTGAGGTGCTTGGGGTGCCATGGGGCTCAGCCCCATGGTGGGTGCCGAGCCGCTTGGTGCCAACAGTGGAAGGCTCCAGAGCTGGGTGGGGAAGATGGTGCGGAGCCGCCACAGGACGGTGTAGAGCCGCCGAGGCCCTGGCAGATGCTAATTCCCGGCAGCGTCTCTGGCAGCAGACAAAGCCCCCGGCCCCGCCGCCCGCCGCTCCCAGGAGACCCCGGGCAGCGCCATCCATCAGCGCGGCCGACGCGCCCGCAGCGGCCCCCCGGCTCCTGGGGCCCAGCGAGGGCCACCCGTGCAGCACTGTGTGTCAGGACCCCTGCCCTGGGGGGCTCTCGCTGGCTGGGAGGCCACGGAGCTGGGTCCGAGCAGAGTGGGGAGCGGGCTCACACCGCGGGCAGGAGCAACCCGTACCCCGGCACCTCCGGCAGCCCCCAGATTCCTCCAGCACCCAGGGTGGCAGCGGGAAGGCATCCTGGAGCCTCAGGTCTGCGGCACCCCGGCTTTTAGGGTGGGCTTCACCACAGCATCTTGGCAGCCCAGCCTGGGCCTCCCAGCCGTGCTTTGCTTCACTGAGCCTCCCCTGCTCAATTGAGTCCCCCCAGCCTCTGGCTCAAAAGCCCTCGCACCCGCAGAGCCCTGAGGAACGGGCCGAGCCCCTCGGTGACCAAAGCATCTGCTGCCTGGGGCTGGAGCCGGGGGGCCAGAGCCGGTGGGGGCTCAGTGCTCTCTGGGGGAGAGGAGCTGGAGGAGCTGTGACACTGTGGGGCGGTGTCGATGCTGCTGTCGGTGCAGTGGGGGGGCAGGTGCCGGTGTCAGTGCCGGTGCTGATGCTGGTGTTGGTGTAGGTGGCAGCTACTGTAAGTGTCGGCGTTGGTGCCGGGGCAACTGCTGGTGCCGGGGAAGGTGCTGGTGTCTGTAATGGTGCAGGGACAGGGGCAGGTGCCAATGCTGGTGCCCGTGCGGGTGGTGACTGGTGCCGGTGTCAGCGCGGTGGAGGAGCAGGTGCTGGTGTCGGTGTCAAGGCCGGTGCCCGTGCGGGGTGTCGCCCCCCCGGCCGGCGCGGGGCGGGCGGTGGGCCGGCGCCGCCCCTCCCCCGCGGGATAGCTGCGAGGCCCCGGGGGTTTCCCCGGTAACGGCGGCGATCGGCGCCCGGAGGGTTAACGGGGGCGGCGGCGTGGCCGGGGTCAGACCAGCCCCGCCGAGCTGGGCCGAGGCCGGTGCGAGGGTCCTCGCCGGTACCCCCCGCTCTCTGCGCTCCCCCCCGCGCCGCGGGTGCGGCGCACAAAGGCAGCGGGGCCGGGGCGGCGGTAACGGGGACCGAACCACCCCGCTGCCCCCACCCCGCTCTCCCGCACAGGCCGGGTCCCCCCCGACCGGTAACGGCGGCGGTCCCAGCCCGGCCCCATGGACGCCCGGAGCCGCAGAGGGGTGAGTGTGGGGCGCGGGTTTCGCGCGGGTCCGGGAGCGCGGGTCCGGGCGGGGTCTGTGTCCCCGCAGCACCCCCGAAGCAGGGGCGCGGAGAGGGGTTCCCTCGAGTCACGCCGCGTCGTGGTGCTCCCACTCGTGCGGTCCCAAGGGACCCCGATACACGGGGAGGGGGGACGATTTGGGTGTGTGATGCCCCTCGGGTGCGAGTGTTGGGACTCCGCTGTGGGTGTGTGTGCGGTGACTGTGCACGGGGACCGTGCCCGTGGCGTGTTTCACGGCGTGGGGGCTCGGTGCCCACGGCCGGGACACCCCGGGGCACACGGCCAGGGCGGGTGCGTGTGGGTGCACATGCGCTCCCCACGCGTGTGCGGGGCTGTCGCAGGTGCGTTTCATGTCACGGTTCACAAAGGCGCGGGGGTCCTGCCGCTGCCCCCTGCACGGGAGTGAGAGCGCAGGGTGTGCATGTCGGGGTGTGTGTGCACATGTATGGGAGTGTGAGTGTGTGTGTGTACACACGTGTGGGGGTGTGTGTTTACCCACGTGCACAGGGGCGTGTGCCCGGGGCCGAGCCGGAGGGCCGAATGTGGGGCCAGGGACCGGGAGCGCTGCAGCTGCAGCAGGGGGGGCTGGCAGGGGGGCTGCCGGGGGAGGGTCCTGCCGGGTCACGCTGGGCGATTTATGGCTGCGGCAGTGCTGGCAGGGTGGGAGGCCACCTGCCTGTCCCCTGCCTGCCCCCTGCCTGCCCACCCGTCGCTGGGTGCACCCGGCCACTCCCAGCCCCCCGTCCCCCCGGACAGATGCTCCTCTCCCGGCTCCGCCGCCCTCGTTAATCCAACGGCACAAGGCGACATAGGGCGGGAGCATCCTCCTGTCCCCAGTGCCTGGCGCTGCCGCTACTGCCGCGTCTGCTGCCGAGACACACAGGACGGGCACCCGGGCACTGCCCGGGGGACTCTTTTCCCTCCGCCAGGCCTCGGTGACGGTCAGCGTCCCGTCCTCCCTTCCCTGTGCCCTGGCTCTTGTCAGCCCTTTGCTGCGCGGCCAGAACTCCCCCCCACACCGGAGCGGGAGGTCAGGCAGACCCGGCAGCGCAGGGGGGCGGGAGGGGTGACCCGGGCGCAGGACGGAGTCCGGGGCCCCGCGGTGGCCCCGGCAACGCGCGTGTCCCCTGGCTTGTTGCAGGCCGGGATTTGAGGCGGGGGCCCGGCGGCCGCGCCATGGGGAACTCGGTGAGCCGGCCCAGCTGCCTGGGCGAGAAGAGCCGACGGCCGGAGGAGCTCCTGCGGGAGCCGCCGTGCCGGGAGCCGGGGCTGGATGAGGGGCAGCCGCCCGCTGGAGGCGTCACGGAGGCCTGTCCAGGGCTGCCGGAGAAGGCGCCGGTGCCGGTGGAGAACGGGTGGAGCCCTGTACCCGGTGCCATTCGGAGCCGGCCGGGCAGCCCGGTGCTGAGGCGCAGCCAGTCTGAGGTGGCGGTGCAGAACGGGGGCACGGCCGGCGTTCCGGTGAAGGGGCAGGTGGGGGGCGCGGCCTGGACACCCCCCCGGGCTGGCGTCCCCCGCAGCACCTGGTCCTGGAAGCCTGTCACCACCCGGGAAGTGACGGAGGTGACGGAGGTGACTGAGACCATCGTGACCGAGATCGTGGAGGTTACCGAGTATCCGGTGGGCGAGAAGGGCGGCGAGCCCGTGGTCACCCGGACGGTCACCGTGCTGACGGAGCGTGTGGGGGAGCTCGCTGCCGCCGGCTGCGCCGGACATGCGGATGCCACCGAGGTGACTGTCGGTCAGGGACCCTCGCCGGGAGGACACTGTGCCAACCCTGCACCACGGGGCTGCCCTCTGGCATGGTTCTCTCGGCAGCGACTCTTGCCCTTCCTCTCCCATGGCCGGGGCTCATGCAGGGTCACCGGGGTCTGTGCCCTGGTGCTGGTGGCACCCCCGGTGCTGGGCACCCAGCCCGGTGCCGTAGGACAGCGAGTCCCCTCCGTTCTCGCGGCTGGCGCGGATCGTGTGTCCAGAGTGCACAGGCCCTGCTTTGGAGAGCCCTGCGAGGGACGCCGGGGAGGACCCCATGGGCTGGGCAGGGTCTCACTGTCCCCGACGACACCTCCCGGACAGGGCACAGTGTGGGGTCGCAGCCCAGCCCCACGGCTGACCCCTGCCCGCCCACTTGGGCGGCTCAGCCACTTCTCTACCCACAGGTGTCCCCGCGGGCCGTCCCTGTCCCAGAGGAGATGGCGGGCGCGGAGCGGGCCCAGGAGACGCTAGAGCGGCTTGCTGGCCTGGGTGGCCGACATGGAGGAGCTGGTGAGCAACCAGAAGCCGCCGTCGGCGGAGGCGAAGGTGGCGAAGGCGCAGCTGGAGGAGCAGAAGGTCAGCAGGGCCGGCTGGCGCGTCCCGCCCACGCGCTCCGGCTGGGGATTAGGAGGCCGGGGTTGGAGCCGCCGCCCGGGGCTGTGCCAAGGTGGCGGGGACAGGGCGGGGTCCCCGGCACAGCGCAGTGCCCCCTGCCTTGCAGCTCCTGAAGCGGCTGCTGGAGGAGCGAAGGCCACGTGTGGAGCTCGTCCTGCAGGACAGACTGTCGGACAGACTGAGGGCGCGTGGCACCAGCACGGCGGTGCCTGAGGACAGTGCCAGCCTCTTCGACCTCAGGGAGAGGTGGGACAAGCTGATGCAGGAGGCTGAAGCCAGGTGGGTCAGGGTCCAGGCCCTTGTCAGTGGGCAGGCACAGGCTCCAGCCACTGATGTCCTCACCAGCTGTGTCACCATGACACACTGATGTCCTCCTGTGCCCTGCCCTGCTGACATCAGGGCCACCATGGCAGAGGAACCATCCCCATGCCACATGCCAGGGCTGCGCAGGGGCAGTTGGTCTGGGGCTCTGCAGCCAGTCCAGCCTCAGAGACTATCACCCCTGGACTCACCCAGCCCTCCTGACACAGATATGGCCACCTGGAGCGGATCCTGCCGGCAGCTCAGGGCTTCCAGGAGGCTGTGGATGCCTTTCAGGAGTGGCTCAGTGCCACGGAGCGACAGCTGGCCCAGCTCTGGCGTACCGATGGCTGCGTCAGCCGTGTGCAGGATGCCCACCGGCAGACCCAGGTGAGACCAAGGTGGGCACAGGGTGGGCACAGGCACCTATGTCACTGTCGGTCACTGCCACGGGACCTTCTTGCCCAGGCCCTCTGTGAGGAGATCCGCGGGCGGCTGGGAGAGCTGGACAGTGCCCTGGAGAGAGGGCAGCAGGTCCTGGAGATGGTGACAGGTGAGTGGCAATGGCCAGGAGTGGCGGCCACGGGGTTGGGACTGTGGAGTGTGGGATGGGATGAGCACGGAGTGCAGCAGCCCAGCCCAGTGATGGCACCCCTGGGCACTGGGGGTCCTTGGAATGTGTTGCTCCCCACTGGGAGCTGTGGGGTGGTGCGATGAGGCACAGCATTCCATGGGATGGAGAGTGGCCAGGGCAGAACCTGAGGGTCAAGGCCATGGTGGGACAGGGTGCAGCCATGGTGAGGGGAAACTGGGAAGGTGGATTTTGCTGGCAGTGGGATGAGGGGCCAGATCCAGCTCTGGGAGCAGCAGGAGAGGAGAAAGGTCAGGACAGAGTGACCATCACAGCAATGGAAACTGTCAGTGTGGCTGATGGTGTGCCTGGGGATGCTGGGATGGAGGCGCTGATGCTGGTGTGGCGTGGCCGCAGGGGAGGAGGCCCAGCTGGTACAGGAGAAGATGGAGTCGCTGAGGATGCGGTACCTCATCGTGGGCCAGAGCAGCACCGACACTGCACATCGGCTGGGGCAGACCCTGGAGGCCTCATCCCTCCTGGGCACGGCCCCTGAGGACCTGGCGCTATGGCTGGGCCGCATGGAGAAGGAGCTGGGCAAGCGGGAGAGCCAGGATGATGGTCAGGAGCCCCTGGTCAGCGCCGGTGACAGGGAGAAGGTGCGGGACGTGGCACTTTGGGGACTGTCACCCTCTGCCTCCCTTTACCATTCCTGGCATCTCTCTGCAGTGGGAGATGGTGGAGTTGGGTCTGAGTGGGATACTCTGGGTTATGGGAGACAGTCCTGTGGGACTGGGATGCGTCAAGAGTCTCTGTCCTGGAGCAGCTGCCCCAGTGTGTGCCCACTCTGCCCGTCTGACATCTGTCCCTCTGCCGTAGTTTGAGCAGGTGCTGGAGTCTCAGCTTGCCCGTGTGACTGGGCTGGGTGAGCGGCTGGAGGAGATCGGCCGTGTGCAGCTGGACTCCGAGGCTCTCAGCTCACAGCTCTCCGAGCAGAAGGTGGGTCTGCAGCGGTGCCCAGGGGTCCCAGGGACACTGGCTTGGCATCCCCATTCTGCTGGGCCCGACACTGACCCCCAGGACCTGGCACCCACCTGCTGCTCCGTTCCAGCTGCTCTCTGCTGAGGTCCTGCACTGCCGGGGCCTGGTTGAGCGTCTGCTGGGGATCTCAGACCCACTGCTGCACTGTTGCCCTGAGCCCCTGCGGCAGCGCCTCCAGGTGAGTCGGGCAGTTGCCAGAGGGGATGCTGCCAGCGTCTGGGGATGGCCATGCCCCACATCCCCTGCTGACCCCCTGTCTCTACAGCCATCAGTGCAGGCGCTGCGGGAGCGCACGGAGCAGCTCTCCCTGCGCAGCGGCGCCTGTGCCGTGCAGCTGGAGCATGCCCAGTCCCTGCTCACCCAGTTCTCTGAAGCACTCGAGGAGCTGCTGCCCTGGCTGGAGGAGACACAGGCCCTGGGGGTGCAGCTCTCCCCCAGTGCCATCAGCTATGAGGCCTTCAAGGAGCAGCAGGCACTGCTGCAGGTGCAGGCAGGGACAGGGGCAGGGACATGGAGGGACGTGCTCGGCTGTCCCGTGGGGTTGGGAGCGGAGAGGTGACGGGATGAGGCGGCATCACCGGGGGCCCACCGGGCTGGGGCACTTGCTGAGCATGAGTCTGCTGGGAGCAGCACTAGGGTGCACCAGCACGTGGTCCCATGGGATGAATCCCCATGGGGCACATGCCACCCCAATGGGGCCCCATGGCCGCTCCTCACTCCCAGAGTCTGCGGGAGGCCATCGCTGAGCACCGGCCGCTGGTGGGGAAGCTTCAGCGCGTGTCAGCGCAGCTGGTGGAGCTGAGCCCAGAGCAGGGAGCCCCGTTCCAGCGGCGCTGGCAGGAGGCTGAGGAGCAGTACGGCTGCATCCGCGAGCGTGTGCGCCAGGCAGCGGCTCTGCTGGAGGATGCCCTGCCGCGATACAGCCAGGTATGGGGCTGGCACCGGGGTGGGGAGTGTCCCCACGGGTGTCCCCTTGAGTGACTGGGCTGGTCCCCAGCTGACAGAGCGCATGGACCTGCTGCTGGAGTGCCTGGAGCGGCTGCAGAGCCGGCTGCAGAGCCAGCCCCCCGTCCGCGGGGATGCGGCCCACCTGCGGGAGCAGATCCGGGAGAACAGCCTGGCCCTGGGCGAGCTGGAGAAGCTAGGGGTGGCCTTGGAGGGCATCCAGGAGCAGGGCAGAGAGCTGCTGGCCACCATGCAGGCAGTCAGCTCCGACGCCGCAGCCAAAGGTATCGGCACAGAGGGGTGAGCGTGGCCCCACCGGCAGGTGGTTGTCTGTGTCCCTGTCGGGGCTGTGTGGGGGTGCTGGGTCCCTCAGAGCACCCTGATCCCCGCCTCCTCGTGCCCTGCAGGGATCCAGGAGCGCACAGAGCAGCTGCTGTTGCAGTGGGGCTCCCTGCGCGGCCGCTGCCAGGAGCAGGAGCGGTGGCTGCGGGAGCTGCTGGCACTGGCTGAGCGCTTCTGGCACGGCCTGTCCGAGCTGGTGCTGGCACTCAGTGACACCCAGCAGCTGGTGCTGGGGCTGGAGGAGGCTGACGGGGAGCCCGAGGCCATCCGCACACGGCTGCGCACCATGCAGGTACGGCTGGGGTGGGGACCTGGGTGGCAGCGCTGTGGCATAGGCAGTCCCCCGGCACAGGCAGTCCTCATTCCAGGGTCCTGATCCCCATGCCATGTGCAGGCGCTGCGGGAAGAGATCGATGCCCTGCAGGGCGAGCTGGACACGCTGGGCAGCCTGGGCGTGGAGTTGATGGCCTCCTGCGGAGACCCTGACAAGCCTGATGTCACCAAGAGCCTGGACGATGTGAGTGCCCCTGGGGTTTGGTTCAGTGAGGGATGAGGTCCTGGGGCTGAGGGGATGGGGTGTCCCCTGACCCTGGGCAGTGCCACTGATCCCTGCACAGCACCACTGACCTTCACACCCAGGCCCCTGTACAGTGCCACTGTCCCCCATGCCTGGATGCCTGTATGGTGCCACCCCCATACCCCAGACCCCATACCCTGTCCCCCCCATGGCACTGCTGACCCTGTGCCCGGCCGCAGCTCTACTCCTCCTGGCACAGCCTGAGCCGAGTGTGGACGGAGCGGAATGGGCGCCTTGAGGAGCAGCTTCAGGCCGCCCTCAGCTACCAGGACACGATGCAGGTGGGTGCAGGGGCTCTCCAGCAGACCTCCCCCACGGAGGGAGCTGAGTCACCCTCCCATCCCCGCTGAGGGGCACAAGGGGCTGTGAGGCCACCATGGGACCCCTCAATCCTGATCTCCCATCTCCCCTCATCCCCAGCGGCTGCTGGAGTGGCTGGACACGGCTGAGCTGCGCATTGCTGAGGAGTTCCTGGTCGGCGGGGACCTGGACATGGTGCAGCAGCAACTGGCAGAGCTCAAGGTGCCGTGATGTGCCATGTCGTGCCGTGTTGTGCTGAGCCATCCTGTGCCGCTGGATGGGGCAGGCAGGGGACAGCGGGGTGCTCTAGACAGCAGTGGAACGGAGGGGTGGCAGGTTGTACGGTGCTGGTGCCTCCATGGTGGGTGCTGGGAGGTCAAGTCCTGCCCTCTACAAGGTCCCTGGGCAGGTTGGGTGTCGGCTCTCTGCGAAGAGCAGCCCTGTGCCCAGGGGCGCGTGCCGTGCCATTGCAGTGCCTGGTGGCAGGCAGACCCCATCCTGGGGTATGGAGCCGGGGTCACCCACCGGTGCTGGCCCCCAGGAGTTCAAGCGGGAGCTGTACCAGTGCAAGGTGGATGTGGAGAGCCTGCGGCACCACGGGGGCACAGGGCAGGGGGACCCCCCAGCTGCACTCAGTGACTTCCGCCAGCGCTGGGACCACCTGGAGGAGGAGATCGTCAGCCGACAGGTGGGAGGGGGCAAGGGGCAGAGGGTTGCATGGGGTGACAGGAGGTAGCTGGGTGGGTGCAGGGTGTTCCATGAGGGTACTGGCTGTGTGGGGCTGGGTGGGTGTGGTGGGTGCCATGTGGGTCTGGAGGGTTTCGTGGCAGGGTTCAAGGGGGTTCTACATGGGTGCTGGGTGTGGTGCTGGGAGGGTGCATGAGGCAGTGGAGTTGTTGGACACAGAGTGCCCTGTGGTGCCAGGTGCCCATGCAGGTGCTGGGCACACTGGGTGTGTGGGGCCATGTGGGCACTGAATGGGTGCTAGGTGGGTGCAAGGGTCCATGTGGGTGCTGGACATGGGGCTGGGGCTGCTGTCATTCCCCCTGACAGTGCCTCTTCCCCTCGGCAGCACCAGCTGGAGGCGGCGCTGCTGGGGCTGGGGCAGTTCCAGCACCAACTGGCCGAGCTGCTGCAGTGGCTGAGCTGCACCGGGGAGCAGCTGCGCGGCCCCGCGCCCCTGCGCCCTGACCTGCAGAGCTGCGAGATCGAGCTGGCCAAGCACAAGGTGAGGCTGGGCCGTGGCCCAGGGCACACACAGCACAACCCCGCTGTGGGGAGCCAGCCTGGGACTGTTGCTGAGGGTCCTGGGGGTCCTGGCCATGGTGCCCCCGCCAGGGTGTGTGTCCTGGCTGCAGGGTGCTGCCCAGCCCCTCCTTGGGCTGCTGCAGTGGTGGCCAGGCCGGGCAGGCTGTGGCATGAGGAGGCGTCCCCTCCCTCAGTGACACCATGGAAGGAATGAGCTGTCTCTGTGCCATCCCAGTGCCGCGGTCCCTTGCCTGGGCACGCTCGTGCCTGACGCAGGCGAGGTTCTGCGAGGGCCAGGCTAGCCCTGCACCAGGGGATGCTGTGCAGAGGGTACCCTGTCACCTCTATGCCTGTCTTGGCCAACCCTCTGCTATGAATCGGCAAATCTGGCACCTCAGCCCCATGCCCTGCTGAGAGCAAGAGTCAGGGGCACCCCTAGGTGTTGTCCTCCCTCTGTGTGGCACCCCCAGACTCCATCACCACGGTGGCAGTAATGACATGAATGGCAGAGGTGTCCCAGACACTCAGAGCAAAGGGCTTTGTGCAGCACAGCTGGTGGGGTATGGGGTGTCCCTGCTGCGGTCCCAGCCGTGACCCCACTGTCCCTCTGCAGGTGCTGCGGACAGATGTGATGTCCCACGCCCGCACGGTGCAGTCAGTGACCGAGGCCGGGCAGGGGCTGCTGCTGTCCAGCCTGGGGGAGAGCGTGGAGGGGCTGCAGCGCAGCCTCCAGCAGCTGGGCCAGCACTGGGACCTGGTGCGCAGTGAGACCGAGAGCCGGCAGCTGGAGCTGGAGAACAACCTCAGCCAGGTACGGGAGTGGGGCTGCGGCGCTGCTGGACGGTGGGGCTGTTGCTGAGCCCCTCCTCACCCCCAGGTGCAGGACATCACACTGGAGATCACGGAGCTGCTGCAGTGGCTGGAGCAGGTGGAGTTGCAGCTCTTCTGCTCCAAACCGGCCTGGGGCCACCCGGATGCCACCAAAGAGAAGCTCAATGCACACCTGGTGAGCAGCGGCAGTGGGCCGGGCCCTGCTGCCAGGGCTGTGCCTCGAGGTCCCTCAGGGGGATGTGTCCCCCAAATCCCCCCCTCTCCACAATGAGGGGCCAAGACCCTTCTCTGCTGCCTCCTCTCCCTGACCAGGCAGAGCCTGGTATCCCTCTCCACTCTCCTCCAGCTCCCTGAGACAGAGCAGGAGCTGTCTTTGTTCCCTGTTCCTGACCCTTTTCCCGTCCCCATCCCAGTCTCTGTCCCCGTCCCCTGTTTACTGTCGCTGACCCCTTCCTCGTCCCTATCCCCGTCCTCATCCCGTTCCCTGTTCCCTGTGCCTGTTCCCACGCCGGCCCCGCGGCGGGCACTGACCCGGAGTGCCCGGTGTGCCCGGCAGGAGCTGTGCCGGGAGCTGGAGGCGCGGGCGGTGTCGTACCGGGGGCTGCGGGAGCGGCTGCAGCGGCTGCTGGAGTCGTGCCGCGCCGGGCGGCCCTGCAGCACCGAGCACAGCCTGCGGCTCCTGGAGCAGAAGTGGGAGAGCGTCCAGGCCGAGGCCCAGGAGAGGAAGGTGTGTGGGGTGGGGGCTCCGACCCCGGGGGCGGGCTCACACTGACCGGTCCCGGCCCCGGGGCGGTGGGTGGCCGCTCCCGTCAGCGCCTGTTTCCCCCGCAGGAGCGCCTGGCCGAGGGGCTGACGGTCACCACCGAATTCCACGGCTCTGCCCAGGAGCTGCTGCGCTGGGTGGCCCACGCCGAGGAGCTGCTGGAGTCCCCGGCACCGCCCAGCTTCGTCTTCGACACCGTCACCGCCCAGATCCAGGAGCACAAGGCAAGAGAGGGAGGAGCCGGTGTGGTGCTCTGGGGGCTGATTCATGGAGCTGGAGTCTGCCCGGAGAGCAACCGCAGGGAGATCCTCCCCCGACTGATTCACGGGGCTGGGGTCTGCACAGAGATCTCCCGTGTGGCACTGGCACTGGCAGACAGATCTCCCTCAGGCTGGTTCATGGGGCTGGGGTCTCCCCAAAGGGGGGTCCCATGTGGCACCCACAGAGAGATCTCTGGGCTGCGGGTGGGACATCTATCCCTGAAAGCAGTGGAGTGAGTGGGCTCTGTGTCCCATCCCCGTGCAAGCTGTGCCTGGGGGCTCTGTGTCCCATCCCGGCATCAGCTGTTCCCAGGGGCTCCCCACCTGCCCTAGGACCACCCACCCACAGCTGCCCCCTCCCTGCAGGCCCTGGTGAAGGAGGCGAATGCCTATGGGGAGAAGCTGGGTGGCTTGGAGGCCGTGGCCGCACGCCTGAAGGATTTCAGCCGCAAGCAGGATGGTGCTGTCATCCAGAACCTGGTGCTGGCAGCACGGGAGCGCCTGGGCAAGGTGCTGCAGAGGGCAGCTGAGAGGGGGGCAGCACTGGAGGAGGCACGAAAGCGCAGCAAACAGGTACCATGGACACGGGCCGCTGCCCCTATGGGTTGGGAGTGGACTCTGCCCCTTGGTTTGCTTTGGACAAGGGCCTGGAGTGCCAGAGCAAGGGGGAATCGCTTCCCACTGCCAGAGAGCAGGGTTAGATGGGATACTGGGAGGAAATTCTTGGCTGTGAGGGTGGGGAGGCCCTGGCACAGGTTGCCCAGAGAAACTGTGGCTGCCCCATCCCTGGAAGTGTTCAAGGCCACGTTGGATGGGGCTTGGAGCAACCTGGGATAACAGAAGGTGTCCCTGCCCATGGGAGGGGGTGGCACTGGATGAGCTTTAAGGTCCTTCCAACCCAAACCATCCTGGGCCTGATGATTCCATGACACAGGTCCTGCTGGGAGCAGGCTCTGGTGCTGTCACCGTGCCGTACTGGCCCATGGTTTGCCCCAAAGTGGTGCCAGGGCTGGGCCACTCCCTTGTGTGGCTCCGTGGCTCCTGCCTGGGTTGCCCCAGCCACACTTTGCTCCCCCAGCCCTCTGCAGCCCTCCCCAAACCTCCCCTCCTTGCAGTTCAGCGAGTCCCGGCGGCTGCTCCTGGACTGGATGGATGAGGTGGAGCAGAGCCTGGAGGTGCCACAGGATGCTCCCACCAGCCAGGAGGAGATCAAGTGCCAGCTGGCTGAGCACAAGGTGAGGCTGCCCTGCTCCCAGGCACAAAGGGGTTCCAGGAGGGCTGTGGGGAGCAGAGCTGGGTGGCTGGGGGCTCCAGATGGGCGCCCTGTGGGAAATCCCCTGGAGCCAGGGGGTAGGGGTGTCAGATACCTTCCTAGGGCTATTCTGCAAAGTGGGGAGACCCGGAAGGGACCCCAACCCCCCTGCAGCACTCGGAGGAGCAGGGGGAGTCTCTCCCTAGCTGGAGGACTCAGCACCTGCCCATGGGGCCCCCCAGGCGTTCCAGAAGGTGCTGCGGGCGAAGCGGCCGGTGTATGAGGCGACCCTGCGGAGCGGGCGGGCGCTGCGGGAGGGGGCCCGGCTCCCCCAGGACCTGCAGCCTCTGGAGGAGTTGCTGGGAGAGCTCAAGGAGCGCTGGGATGCGCTGTGCAGCCGTGCTGCAGAGAGGTGGGAATGGGATGGGGATGGACATGGGTTGGAATGGTCATGGGATGGGGAGGGGGTTGGGATGCAAATGCGATGGGAGGGGAATGGCACAGGATGAAATGGGTGTGTTCTCTGCTTGCTCTGGGGGTCTCAGGCAAGGACATGGCACTGCCCTTCCTCCCTGATCATCCCACTCCCTGCTCTGGGACCCCCACACCCAGCATTGCTGCCACTGAGGTGCAGCCAGGCCCTGTCCCATAAGGGCACTGCCAGGGCCTATCCCTGTCCCTAATGGCACTGCCAGCACTTGTCCTTGTCCATAATGGCACTGCTGGGATCTCTCCCTGTCCATAATGGCACTGCCAGCTGGTGTGATGGGATGGCCATATCCAGCTCTGTGGGTGACCCCTGGAGCACTGTGATATCTCCTGTGCCCCCCTGGCAGGCAGCACAAGCTGGAGGAGAATCTGCTCTTCTCGGGCAAGTTCACGGACGCGCTGCAGGCCCTCATGGACTGGCTGTACCGTGCCGAGCCGCAGCTCAGCGAGGACGTGCCTGTCGGAGGGGACCGGGACCTGGTCGGGGACCTCATGGACAAGCACAAGGTGGGTGTCCCAGGGTGTGTGGGAGGGCTCTGCCTGGTGTTAGCCCTCAGGGAGCCCTGGGCTCTGTTCCTGCTGTGCCCACCCTCCATCTGGGACAGGACCGGACCCAGGCACAGGACAGGGCTTTACTCACCCAGAGCAGTCCTTGTTTGACCTCAGCTATTGTGCCCCCTATCTTGGGTCAGCATTGGGGGGCCCTGTGTACCCAACTGCTGGGAGGGTTTGGGCTACATGGGAGCCCTGTACCTGCTGCTGGGAGGGTTTGGGGTGCAGGGAAACCCTGGTGCTCGCTTGCTGGGAGGTTTGGGGTGCAGGAAAACCCTGGTGCTCGCCACTGTGAGGTTTGGGGTGCAGGGAAACCCTGGTGCTCGCTGCTGTCAGGTTTGGGGTGCAGGGAAACCCTGGTGCTCACTACTGTGAGGTTTGGGGTGCAGGGAAACCCTGGTGCTCGCCACTGTGAGGTTTGGGGTGCAGGAACCCTGGTGCTCGCCACTGTGAGGTTTGGGGTGCGCAGGAACCCTACTCAGTTACAAGGTCCAGGCAGGGTTCTGGGACCCCCCGGCACCCCCCAACCCTCCCGTGCTCCCTGCCAGGTGTTCCAGAAGGAGCTGGGCAAGCGTGCCAGCTGCATCAAGACTGCTGAAGCGCTCGGTGCGGGATCTGACGCGTGGTAGCAGCAGCGTGGACTCGCAGTGGCTGCAGAGGCAGGTGGAGGAGCTCAGCACCCGCTGGGACCTGGTCTGCAAACTCTCCCTGTCCAAGCAGGCCCGGCTGGAGGCTGCACTGCGGCAGGTGAGGGCTGGGGGGGTGAGAGGAGAAACCCCAGGTTGGGGCCTGTTGTGACGGAGGGGTCTTGGGGGGCAGCAGGGGAACCACTGGGTTTGGGGTCTGCTGTGACAGGTTGGGGCTGGGGGCGGGGGGGACAGTAAGAACAGCAAGGGAACCCTTTGTTGCACCCGTATGGGAAGGCTGAGGCAGCCGTAGGGGTGTGGGGTATCCAGGCAGTGGGTGGTTGAGCTTCAGGGTGCTCCATGGGGTTCTTGGTGGGTGGCTGTGCGTTTGGGGGTTCTCTATGGGGTCCCTCGTTGGTGGGTGGCTGTGTGTTTGGGGGCTCACTCGCTGTGGGGTGCCCAGGCTTGGCATGGCCATGCTCCAGGGTCCTCCACGAGGTTCCCAGGCTCGGTGGGCGGCCGTGCATTTCGGGCTTCTCCATGGGGTGCCCTGGCTCGGTGTGTGGCTGCACTGCGGGTGATGTGTGGGCCTGTGGGGCTCTGTGTGGCTGTGTCACGAGGTGCCATGGCCAGGTGCCAGGCTGGGTGCTGCAGGAACCTGTTTCAGGTGTGCCCGTGTGGCACAGGGTGCCTGGGGCAGGGGGCTGCGTGGCACAGGGAGGCGCTGGGGGGCTTGGAGGCAATTGTGTCCAGGCACCAAGCCTGGTGTGGGATGTGCCCTCAGGAGGGCTGAGCAAGGCTGGCAGCAGCTCTCCCCAGGCACAGTGTGGTGCCAGGGCCTGTGCCACAGTTTGTCCAGCCTCAGGCAGGAGCAGCAGGTGCAGGACTCAGGGTCTGTCCAGGGGTCTGAGCAGCCAGGGAACTCAGGACAGGACCTGAGACCACAGGGAGGGTGCTGAGCAGGTCCCTACTGTCGTGGCAGGCAGAGGAGTTCCACACCCTGGTGCACTCCTTCCTGGGGCGCCTCTCCGAGTCGGAGAAGACCCTCAAGTACGGCGTCTTCCCCGAGGAGGAGGCGGCTGTGCAAGAGTGCCAGAGCCAGCTACAGGTTGGTGCCAGCCCCCAACAGGCCCCACTGGCCCCCACCTCTGGGTGGTTCCAGCCTTGCCCAAGGACACCCCATCACTGGGGTCAGCTGGCCCTTGACAGGCCCTGTTGGGGTGTGGGGTCCCCAGAGCGAGATGTGGGATGTTGGGTCCCACTACACCAAGAACATGGGGTTTGGGGCCCCAAACACCCCAGGGTGGGGAGTTTTGGCATCTCAAACACCACAGCTGGGTGGAGGCTGGTCGGACAGGATGCAGGGGGCTGACACCTGGCAGTACCATGGTCCGTGCCCCCCCAGGAGCTGATGCAGTCCCTGCAGTGCCAGCAGCTGGAGCTGGAGTGCATCACCTCGCTGGGGGAGGAGATCCTCACCACCTGCCACCCCGACTCTGTCATCACCATCAAGTCCTGGGTCACGGTTGCCAAGAGTCGCTTCCAGGAGGTGAGCTGGGCACCCTGTCCCCATCCCTGCCCAGGGTGAGTGTGGCCCCAAGAGTCTCCCACCTCCAGGTCGTCCACGGCACAGCCCCCCTGACCGAGAGCATTGTGGGGTCTGCGGGTGCTCAGCCCTGGATGGCACAGGGAGAGAGTCTTGGCCTTGCCAGTGTCCCCCCATTGTTCCCCCATCTGGAGGCCATACAGAGGGCCACCTGGGGCCTCCTCAGACCCCCCTGGACAGCAGTGGCTCATTCCTGTGCCATGGCAGCCACCACACAGCCCAGGCAGAGACCTGGGAGCAGTGTCCCGGGGACCCTCCCCTCAGAACCCGCTCCTGCAGTGGCTCAGAGCCTCCCAGGATTGTGGGTTTGCAGGAGAGAGGCTCCCGGCGCTCCCAGGACCGGTCTGGCAGGTTCAGGTGATCCCACACAAAGCCCTGATTGAACAGAGACCTGTGGCATCTGTTCTGAATCTGCCCAGGGCCGCCCCCCTCACCCCATTCACCCTGAATAGCAAAGGCAGCCAGCACGTCCGCATGGCACAGACCTGGGCACCCTCCTCACGTGGGGAGCAGAGCCCTCAGCCCCGCCCCAGCTGCCCAGCAGGAGCTCTGTCCTGCCCCACATCCCTCCCCCTCGTCACTGCCCCACGGTCACTAGGGCTGCTGGCTGGGGGTGGTCCATGCAGCCCCACGGTCATGGTGGGATGTGAAGCCCCCTTGTCCCTGCCCCATCATCACTGGGGGGGTGTCTGTGAGCCTGTCCCACGGCCAGAGTGGCTGGTGCTCCTTGTGCCAGAGCAATGGCTCCCGCGGCATCTGGTCAGGGTGGGAGACCTCGGTGTCCCCAGCAGGGTGGCAATCCCGTGCCCCAGCAACCCCCGTGCTGCAGCAGCCCTCGCTGCCCCGCAGGTGCTGAGCTGGGCCCAGCAGCAGGGCGAGCGGCTGCGGGCACAGGCGGCCGTGCTGGCGGCCGAGCGGGAGGAGACGGCGCAGCTCATGGACTGGATCACGGCGGCCGAGGAGGCCCTGGGGCTGCGGGACCAGGAGCTGCTGCCGGAGGAGGCCGAGCAGCTGGAGGAGCTCATTGCTCAGCACGCGGTGAGGGACCCTGCGCCCGGCCAGCGCTGGGGACCGCGTCATCCCCGGTCCCCTGACCCAGCCGAGGGCTTTGGGGTGCACCAGGCTGAGCCCTTGGTGCTGCTCGCACACGTTGGCAGAGACACCGCGGCACCTTTGGCTTTGTGCAGCCCAAGCCCACCAGGTCTGCAGCACACGCTGCTGCTTCAGGAGGGTGCTGGGAAGGGGGCAGTGGGGCTGGGCTATGGGGGCTGTGGGGCACACCGAGGGGCTGTGCTGGCACGGCTGGTGGGCGCGCAGCACCGGCGCTCTGTGGCAGGTGTTCATGGAGGAGCTGAACCGCAAGCAGCCTGACGTGGAGAAGGTCACCAAAAGCTGCAAGCGGAAGCTGGCGGTGGATCTGGCCCCTCCGGCCGCCCGCCGGCTGGCCACACGTAAGGACCCCCATCCTCACCCCCAGCGCCGCGCCCCAGCCCCCTGGCTGTCCCCTCACTGGTCCCCTGGCTGTCCCCTCACTGGTCCCCTGGCTGTCCCCTCACTGGTCCCCGGCTGTCCCCTCACTGCCCGTCTCCGCAGGGCGCCGCAGCAGTGGGAAGGCACAGGGTGCGGCAGCAGTGCCGCTCGGGGGGCTGGAGCCCCAGACACCCCTCATGGCCCAGCTCCTGCACCGCTGGCAGCAGCTCTGGCTGCTGGCCCTGGACCGGCAGTACCGGCTGGAGACGGCCCTGCAGCGCCTGCGGGAGGTAGGGGGGCCCTGGGGGTCCAGGGCAGCTTCTTCCATGGGAGGTAGGGGCACTCTGGAGTCCTGGGCAGCTTCTCCTGTGGGAGAAGGGGCACCCCAGGGGTCCTGCTGCCCAGGGGTGTGTGTGAGCAGCTCCTTTCATGGGAGGTAGGTGCATTTTGGGGATTCTGGGCAGCTGATCCCAGAAGAGGTAGGGTTGCCCTGGGGATCTTGGGAGCTGCCCCGGGGGTAGAGGGTGCTCTAGGGTCCCAGGCAGCTTCTCTTGTGGGAGGTAAGGGCACCCTGGGGTCCCACTGCCCTGGAGGGTACAGGCAGCTCCTCTCACTTTCTGCCTATGGGACCCCCTGGCTCCAGGTCGGATGCAAAGGGGGTTGGTGGGTCCCAGACCCCATCCCTGCAGCTGGGGGTCCCTGTGCACGCAGTGGGTGCACCCCAACACTGCAGAGTGGCTGCTGGAGTCTGGGCCTCCCGTGTACCCCAGAGGCAGGGGCCTGGGCAGAGACCCCCTTGCAGCCTCGGCAGGACCAGGGCTGGGAGCAGCCAGGCTGTGCATCTGAGCTGAGCGTCGGGCACAGAGTGGTCACCCTGGCTGACATGGAGGGGCTTGGGGTGTCCTGCCAGTGCGTTGATCCCCATCTGTGTCCCCCCCCAGCTGGAGGAGTTCGCACACTTTGACTTTGGGGTCTGGAGGAAGCGCTACATGCAGTGGATCAGCCAGATGAAGTCCCGTGTCCTGGATGTTTTCCGTGGCATCGACAGGGACCAGGACGGGCGCATCAGCCAGCGGGAGTTCATCGAGGGCGTCCTCGCCTCCAGTGGGTGCTGGGGGGGCCGGAGGGGGCTGAGGGGGCTGGCAGAGAGGGCTGAGGGTCCCTCTCCACCCTCAGAGTTCCCCACCAACGTCCTGGAGATGAATGCCGTGGCCACCATCTTCGACATGAACGGCGACGGCTTCATCGACTACTATGAGTTCGTCAGTGCTCTGCACCCCAACCGCGACCCTCTGCGCCGCTCTGCCGACGCCGACCAGATCCAGGATGAGGTGTGCTGGGGGGTGGAGGCGGGGGGGCTTGAAGGGTGTGGGACCCACCTGGGGCTGAGCTGAGCGTGGCCCCCCAGGTGAACAGGCAAGTGGCCCAGTGCAACTGTGCCAAGCGCTTCCAGGTGGAGCAGATCAGCGCCAACAGGTACCGGGTAAGTGCTGACCCATGAGGGCCGGGCTTGGTCCGACACCTGTGCACAGCCTGCCCTGTGCAGGGGTCCTGCAGCACCCGTGTCCCGTGGCAAGGAGGGGGCACATCCCCATGGGAGCCCTGGCCCCATGGGAGGGTGGTGCTAGCAGGGACTGAGGGGCTGCAGGGTTGGGCAGGTCTGGATGCTGGTGCTGCTCTGGAACCCCTTCCCCTAATCCCAGCCCTGCCGAAGCCACCAGGCCCCACCTTGCCCTGATGTCCCTCTCCCCGCAGTTCGGGGAGTCCCAACAGCTGCGGATGGTGCGGATCCTGCGCAGCACCCTCATGGTGCGGGTCGGTGGGGGCTGGATCGCCCTGGATGAGTTCCTGGTGAAGAACGACCCCTGCAGAGGTGGGTGTGGGGGTCCCATGCCGGGCACTGGTGCAGTGGAGTTCCTGTTCCCTGTGCCTGTGGGGCCAAGTGGGTTAGTGGGGTGGGGGCCATGTGGGGTGCAGCCCGTGGGGTCTTGCACTGCTGGGACCCCATCGCCAGCCCCCTCACTGGCTCTGTCGTCCCCAGTGAAGGGAAGGACCAACCTGAAGATCAACGAGAAGTACCTGTCCCCGGACACCTTCGGGGCCACCGCCAGGTGTGCGGGGAACCAGTCGGCTGCCTCCTCCAAAGTGCTGTCCCCGAGCCGCTCCAACTCCAGCCTCAGCCTCTACAGTAGCGCCTCGGCCCCTAGCAGCCCCCTGGCCAGGAAGGTGAGGGCTGTGAACCCCTCCAGAAGCTTCCACCTCTTCCCTGCCCGCCCCTCCCAGGCACTGACCCTCTCCCTCCCCAGTCGGTGCTGCGGAGGACGCGCTCCGGTGATCGGTGTCCGCGCTCCCGCGGCTCCGGGCTGCCCGACGGGGCCGAGCTGCAGTTCAGCGCGGCCGAGGAGAGCCTGGCTGTGGCACTCCCAGGTGAGCACTGTGCGGCTGCGGGGGGCCCTGCCCGCCCTGGGGGGCAGGGGATTGGGGGACACAGGGGAGCCGGAGCACGTGTGCGGTGTGGGGCGGGGGAGCGTGGCTGTCTGCCGGCCCTCGGCGCGCTGGAGCTGGTGCAGGAGCACTCCCCGCTCCAGCCCCTCCGTACCCTCGCAGAGCCGCCCGAAGGGTCCCCCCCGGAGCGCTGCAGCCCCTGCCGCTGACCCCCGCGCCTGCCCTGCGCCAGCACCCTCGGCCGGCCCCACTCAGGACCCTCCTCCCCGAGGCTGGAGGACGGCGAAGCCGCGGCCGTGCGCCCCGCGGGGCTGCGGTCCGGCGCTGCGGCTCTCCGAGCGGGGCTGAGCTGTCTCCGATCCCGCCGGGACTGGCCCCGACGGATATGCAAGTATCCCCTGACACCCACCAAGCCCCCGGGCGCTGACCTCCTTCCCCACGGCTCTATCGGGCAGCGCGGGGTGGGGGGGCCGAGCCCCAGTGCCCCACTCGAGTTCCCGGGGCTGTGGGTCCAGCCGGGCATCCCCGCGCTGGGCCCTGCGCCTCTCCCGTGCCGTCAGCTCGGGGTGGCTGCGGTGCCCCCTGGTATTTGGCGTTGTTGACGGGGGTCTCCCACTCTGGTGCCCACGCCCCGGCGGGAGGTGGCCGGGCTCGGTACCCGGGCCCCGGGCCCCCTGGCCGGGCGCCGAGCCCCGTTTCTGGTGCTAACCCTCACCCCTCTGCCTTCGGTGTGTGCGCGGGGGGGCCCGGCTCCGGTCGGCCCCCGCCCCGGTGGGGCTGGGGCTGCCACGGACGGGGATCCCTCGCGCCCGCGCCCCCGCCCTGCCGGCGGCCCCGGCGGGCAGCGGGACCCCCGCCCTGCTGCCGCATGCTCACGCACCCCGCTAACCGGACAGCAGTAGAGCTGAATGTAACCCCGGCCGGGCCCGCCCACCCGCCGCCACAATAAACTGTAGTGAGATTCCTTTTTCTATGAGCACCCATCCGTCCCTCCGTCTGTCCGCTCAAGGAGGGAGCTCCCTTCCGTCTGTCTGTCTTCTCGGGGAGCGGGGCGCTCTGCCTGTCCATCTGTCTGCTCGGAGAGGGGACTGCAGTCTGTCCGTCTGTGTCTCCGCTCGGGGATGGACTGCACTCTCTCTGTCTGCTTGCCCCACTGTTGGTGCAGGGGTCCATTAGGGCAGAGAGGTGCATTCTGTCAGTCTGTCTGTCTGCTTACCTGCTGCCGGGGAGGGGGACTGTACTCTGTCTGTCTGTCTGTCTGTCCCCTTGCCCCACTGTCAGGACAGGGGCTGCAGGCAGTCTCTGTCTGTCTGTTCACCATGCTGTCAGTGCAGGGGCTGCAGTCTGTCCGTCTGTCTGCTCACGCTGCTGTCGGGGCTGGGCTACCATGGCCGGGGAGGGTGTCGCATCACCAAAGCCAGCGCACACCACACACCGGCGCGGTGGCACAGGGGGTGGCAAGGCAAAGCCGGGTGTGCCCGAGCCGGTGCCACCGGCAGAGCCGCCTGGCGCCGTAGCCGTCGGCTGGCAAGCCCCGGGCGCTGCAGCGGGTGCCAGCGGGCACCACGCCGGGTTACCTCCTTTCCGAGGAAGGCATTGCTGGCATTCCTGCTGTGCCCACGCTGGGCACTGCTGGGAGATGCTGGGTCCTCATACCTGGGTGCCTGTGGTGGTGCATCCCCCCACAGTGCTGGCTGCCCTTCACCCACCCCAACGCCCTGAGAGCTCCAGGGGTGTCCATGTGGTCCCCAGGCATCGTGGTCCCAGCAGCTGTGCATCTGTCACCCGCCTGCCCCGTTCCAGTTGGAATGGCTGGGAGAGTTGGGATGGGCCCAGCTGCCTGTCAGGATGGGATGGAGTGTCTGGAGGCCCTGGCTGTGTCCCCACTCTGAGAGCTGGGGACACCTCAAGCATAGGGACTGTCCCCAGCTATTGCAGTACCACAGCCCTTGCCTGGCACCTCCCCACCTTGGGGAGTCCCAGATCCCACAAATGGGGGCTATGGCCATTCCCTCTGATCCACCACCAGTGCTGGGGCCCTGCCGGGCTTCCCCCTCCCTATCCCAGTCCTCTTGGTTGCCTGAGTCTGCTCTCATGGCTTCCGGTCCCATTTCTCCACTGTTTCACCCTAAACCCCTCTCCACTCTCCTTTTCTGAACAAACACAGAGCCAAAGGGGCCAGGGCTGGAACTGTGCCAGCGAGTTTGTGCTGGGGCACGTCCCCGGTCACGCACGGGGGAGCCCCATGAACACTCCGGCTCGGGGCCCCTCGCTCGGCGCTGCCACAGCCCCCCTGGAACAGGGCCGAGCCCACGGCTCTGCACGGCGCATCTGCCGACACGTCCCGGGACGGTCCCGCAGCGCTGCCGGCACGGGCTGGAACGCTGATACGAGTTGCGTTGCACATTCCTGTGCCTATGGAAATCTCTTCCACCACTCCCAGCTGGAGCAACACGCCCGGCACCACCGGCACCACAGCCTGTGTCAGCCGCATCCTGAGCCCCAGGCAACGGCGCTGGCTCGGGAAGCGAAGGCAACAGGCACGGGCGGGCTGGGCCCGCACCAAACTGTTTGCAAGGTGTTTACACAGAGACACAGACCCTGCGTGTGCAGCCCCCCGGGGCTGGGGGTGACACGATGGACAGAGACACCCACCTGGAGCACGAGGATGGGGACGTGGGGTCCCAGCGGGGCTGCACCATCCACAGGGAGACAGGAACAGGGATGCCCTGGGAGAGCCTCTGTGGGCCACAGCATGTGCTGGGTTTGGGGGATCACGTCACCGGGGCAGCAGGTGAGCGGGTGGCAGCAGTGGGGAGCAAGACTGGCAGCTTGGCCCTGAGTGGGACTGTCATGACTTGGTGCTCAGCCCCGAGCCCCTGAGCTGGGTCCCATGGTCCTGCTCACAGGCCAGAGCAGCTGTCCCGTTGTGTGCCCTGTGGAGCTGGGTGGTCCTCGCACAGGGAGCAGGAGGCAGGTGCCACCCTGTTGCCCAACCACCCCTGAACTTGCCCTGGCTGTGGGAACCCTGGGAGCGGGACCCCACACACCCCACACAGCCACACTGGCTGTGGCTGGAGCCACGTTCTTCATCGCAGGCAATGGGGTCCGGCCACACCGCGGGGTGAGTGCCGTGCCCTGGGGCTGGGCTGGCAAAGGGGAGACTGCTCAGGTGTATCCCTCCCAGACACCTCCTGTCCCCTCTCTGGGGTGTGAAAAAAGATGGTGCCAGGACAGTTCCTCCAGTCCAAAGGTGCACAGCCCAGCTCCCACCACTCTGCTCCCAACTTTCCTGGCCCTGGCACAGCTGTGTCCTAGGCTCCTCCGGCTCCCACCTGCAGTTTACACCCATGTCCTGGGAGAAGCCCTTGCCCAGTACCCAGGTATGGTGTGGAAAGGGAAGGGGAGAGAGCCACAGCCCAGAGCCCTCTGAGCCCTTGCCTGGATATGGTGTGGGTGGGGAAGGAGTGAGAGCCACCCTCTGGGCCCCCATCCTGCCCCATGCAAAGCCACTGTCTGGGCACAGGGCTGGGACACCAGTGGGGCTGGAGATGATGGCACAGTAATGATGGAGTCTGGCAGGGCTGGAGGCCTTGGTACCAGGCGGGTTGGTATCAACACACCGGCTCTGATCTCTGGCCAGGGCCAGCACGTGTCCAGGCACTCGTGTGTGAGTGTGCATGGCAGATGAGCGTGTGCCTGTGTGTGAGCACCCACTCTCACCTGTATGAGGTTGTGCGTGTGGGCACCGATCCTGGGTAGCAGAGCCCTGGCAGGCGCCTCCCGGTGCTGAGCTCAGCGCTGGCCCCAGGAGCGGCTTTGGGCCGCGCTCCCGCTGTGCCTCGCCCCTTCCCCAGCGTCCGCCCGGAGGGATGGGGAGTGTGGCGTCTTGTGCCCAAGCTGGCTTGTCCTCCTCATGCTGCCACTGCCGCCCCAGAGATGTGCTGAGCTCCTGCCAGATCCTCCAGAGCCAAGGGGCTGTGCCCTGTGCTGCTGGCCCTCAGGCTGACCATGGGCCCAGACCGATAGCACCTGGGACAGACGGACACGGAGCAGGGGGCATGCGTGCCTGGTGATGCCAGGCAGTGTGGGTGAGCACTGGGGGCTTGGGTGGGATGTCCCTGCAGATAGGAACCCTGCCAGTGGCAGCACAGTTTGGGGGGCTGGAGTGGTCACTGCCAGGATCCATCACTGGCACTGCCAGCTCATCCCAAGCCCTGTCACTGAGACCCAGCACCTTCCCCACAGCCCATGGTGGCGGCTGGGCACTGTGGCTCTGGCAGTGCACCTGTGACACCCAGCTCAGTCGGGCACCGACTCACCAGTGCAGGCTTTCCATCTGTGGATGGCTTGTCCAACACCAAGTGACCACATCCCAGCAGCTCTGGGCTCCCCCTTGCCCACGACCACCATCCCCACGGCCCTGTGGCTCCACAGCGGCACAGCAGGGGTGTCACTGAGGCTCTGGGAGCCGTGGCCGCCCACGGGCAGGGGAGAGGTGCCCGGGCCGGTCACTCCCCATCCTCCTCGTCAGCCAAGGAGCTTTGATGGAGCCGCACGTGGTTCGGTTGGATTCGCTGGAATCGCAGCTGCTCCTTACGGCTCATTTACCACCATGGCCCCTTCCCATCGCCCCAGGCAGCAACAGCCACTCCGTGCTGGTGGGAGGAGCATGGCCCAGTATGGCCCAGTACAGCTCAGCATGGCCCAGTATGGTCCATCACAGTCCAGTAAAGCCCAGTATGGTCCAGAATGGCCCAGTTCAGCCCAGCACAGCCCAGCGTGGCTCATTATAGCCCAGTATTGCCCAGCAAGGTGCAGTAATGCCCACCATGGCCCAGCACAGACCTGTATGGCTCATTACAGCCCAGCACAGCCCAGTATGGCCCAGCACAGCCCAGTATGGCCCAGGACAGTGCACTGGTTGCTGTGTGCCCAGCTGTGCTGCCAAGGCAGGGACCTGAGGTCCCGTCCTTGCCTGTCCCTGCAGCCCAGTGGGGTGGTGATACCCCACTGACCTTGCCTGTGCTCAGTCCTGCTGCAGCCCCAGGGCTGTCCTATCTCCCAGAGCAGGTCACAGGGTCCTGGGGAGGCTGTAGGGAGGCTTTGCTGGACCCCACCCCATCACAGTGGGAGCGAGTTGGTACCTTGGAGCCTCGGCAGTGGGAAGCTCCACAGTGCCAGCACCGAGCCACTCCATTGTGGTGGCGCCGAGCACTCTGCGGTGATGGCAAACACTTATCCCTGTTTGCTGATGGATTAAGGCTCCTTGGCAGCTCCTGGGAGTGACACTTCTGCTGATGACCGGGAAGCTGTCAGAAACCTGGGTTGGTTTCTGGGATGCAGCCGCCTCTCCATGGGCCACAGGAGCTGGGATGGGTATGGTGGCAGATGCAGCCCCTGTCCCTCTCAGTGGTGCTACCCCTGTTAGGACATCGCCCTGTGAGTCTGGGACATTGTGCAGACCAGCTGCTGTCTTGGCCCCACAGCTCTGGGTGACCCTCCTGAGGGTCCCTCTTCCCGCCTGGATCACTGGCTCAGCACTGCTGGAGCAGCAGGCACAGAAAGGGGTTTCTGTCCAGGTGCTTGGCAGTGCCATTACCATGGGAATGCTCCTCCACATGAGGGGAACCGCCACTGCTGGGGGGGGCTGGCTGCACCCACAATGGGTACCAGGGCTCAGTGCCCACTGGAGCGTGCCATGCCGCACTGCGGGCTCGCCTGGCCAGGCCCGTGCCTGGATACCGGCACCTCTCCAGACAACACACTCCCACACACCATAAACATCTTGCCCAAGTGCCGCATCCCTCCCGCAGCACCTCACCCTGCAGGGTGGTGCCGGAGGAGGCTGCTGAGTGACCCCCCTACCCTGGTGGGCCCAAAGGCCTCCTCCCCCTCTGCAGCACCTGCTGCTCTTTGGGGCCCACTGAGCACCAGTGGCAGCAGGGAGAGGGGAGGGGGTGCTTGGGGAGAGAAGGAGCGGGGTGTGGACCTGCAAGCAGGGTCTGGGGAGAGGGCGTGGGGCTGGTGACGGAGACAGGGCAGGGGTGTTTGGGTGACTCAGGTGGCAACGAGGTGGTTTGGGCATGTTTTGGGCAATTCGGGCTGCACGTGCACATCCAGGGGTGTGGACAAGGCTGGAGGGAGCAGGGAAGGGTCCCCCTCTCCACCCCAGCCACTGTGGTTGTGGGGTCAGGCCCACAGTGGGGTCTGCCAGCCCTGCAGCTGCAGCCCAGGGTCCAGCCACCAGGACAAGGCACAGGGGCACTGCTGGTGGAGGGGAGGGTTTGGGGTGTGGGGAGAAGGATGAGGGGCTGCTGGGGACGAGGGCAGCACTGGTCCCGGGGAGGGGGGGATTCTCCGTTCTTTGCTCTGCAGAGGGCACTGCCCACTGGGGCAGGGGCACCTCCCACACCGCAGCTGTTTTGGGATGGGTGAATCCCTGCGAGGGGGGGCTCCAGCACCCAGAGGGTGCCGTGGGGAGGGCTGTCCCGCGAGTTTCTGGCAGGGCTGGGCCGGTGTGTCATCCCCAGGGGCGGGGAAGGGCAAGGTTTTAAACGTGCTCTGGTCCCGGGCAGGAAGCAGCGGTGAAGCAGCGGGATCGCGGGCACCTGCCAGGTGAGGCCCTTCTGCTATCACCGTGCGCAGGTGGGAGCGGTGGGGAGGAGAGGGGCCTGGCTGGGCACTGCGGGCCGTACCGGGGGCAGCAGGGGACGGAAGCGCTCGCCCGGTCCCGGCATGTGCGGAATGCGGCACCGCTCCCGCCTGCCGGTCTGGCGCGGCTGAGCCAGGAGCCGGGGCGCGACCGTGGGCGTGGGGCAGCAGCCGCACGGTGCTGTGGCATCCTGGGCACTGCCACCCCTCCTGGGGCAGTAGGAGGGTGGTGGTTCCTGACCCCGGCACTTCCCAGGAGCGGGACAGGAGGTGTTGGCTGCCCGAACAGCCCGGGATGCCTCGGGGTTCCAATTGAGGAGTTCGGCGGGTGCCGAGGAAGGGGTAGGTGGTGGGTTCGGGCAGGCAGGGACTGGCAGCACCTTCCCACAGTAGCCGGTGAAGCGGGTGCATGGAGTTGTCCCTGTGGGCAGGATGTGACACCATCCCACTGCAGCCCCGCTCCGCGCACCGGGCAGGAGCCTCTCTGTCCCTGGCCATTTGGGGACCCCGAAACTGTGGCCCCTGAGCCGGGGCAGCTGGGCAGGCAGCGCTGCCCGGGAAGGGGTGCTGGGCTACCCCCAGCCCGCTCAGAGCAGGGCCCCCCAGAGCCCCCCAGCTACATTCCCAGTAACCATCGCCCTTTGTCACTGACCCAGAAAACTTCTCTACTGCTCTCCCTCCCCTGAACACCCCCGGCCTCGGCCTGTCCCCCCGGAGACCACCCCGCAGACTTCCCCGGCCCCGCCAGACTCTCACCCCCATCCCAGCCCCTCCCAGCGCTCTGCTGTCACTGCTCCTGAGACACCTCCTCCGCCACCCTCTCCCTGACATCGTGTCCCCTCTGCCAGTAAAACCTGTCCCTTTTCCCGGTCCCTCCCCAGGGCCCCCGGCAGCCTCTCCCTGCCCAGCCGGCGCCGGCCTGCGGGTGCTCCCCGCGGGTGCAGAGGTGCGGTTGTGCCGCGGGACGCGGGGCAGCGCTGCTGTCAGGGGCCCTGGGGAGGGACTCGGGTGGCAGTGGGTGGACAGGGACCGCGGGGGCCGTGGGCAGGAGGTGGGTGCGCGGGGGCCGCGGCTCCCACCGGTGCCAGCGCATTGCCTGACGCTGCCAGGAGCGAAAGCCGCAGAGCAGCGGTTGCGGATGCCAGGAAGAGGTGCCCGAGTCGGGGAGAGACCGTGGCCCCGGGGAGGGCGGCAGGTGCCAACACCTCTGCCAGGAATCTCCGTGCCGTCGCAGGCAGAGTCGATTACTCAAAGTTTCCGTGGAACTGACGCCTTCTGATGAAAGGGAGCAGAGTCCTTCCCCCGCCGTGCACCCACTGCCTCGCTCTGCCCGGGGAGGGTGGGGGCAACACCTCGATCCTCAGGCCCCCAGCCCCGATGGGAGTTGGGTTTTCAAGCTGCCACAGTTATGGGTGGCAGAGCCCAAAAATTCCATCTGCACTCCGGTGCCGGTCGCCAGCTTGGCTCTGGGACATGTGGGGACGTGCCTGGGGCTCTCGATATTGGAGCCACACCGGTGCTGGTGCCGGTGTGACTTGGCTCTGGGACATGTGGGGACCTGCCTGGGGCTCTCGATATTGGAGCCACACCGGTGCTGGTGCCGGTGTGACTTGGCTCTGGGACATGTGGGGACCTGCCTGGGGCTCTCGATACCGAAGCCACACTAGTGCTGGTGTCCGTGGCCGTCTCAGCTCTGGGACATGTGGGGACCTGCCTGTGGCTCTCCAGGCACCGGAGCCTCACCACTGCTGCCCACCGCTGTGCCCACAGCATGGCTGGGGCTGAGCCCAGCTCCTCCCAACACAGCACAGCCAGTGCCATCCAACCCGGCATCTCTCTCTCAGGAATGGGTTGTGGGGCCAGGAACAGCGTTCCGGCCCCAGGACCAGGGCGGGCAGAGCCTGTGCAGAGGTGCTGCCAGCCCGACGTGTGTTTAGGGGGTGTGTGGCACAGGGCTGTCCGTCCCTGGCTCGTGTGGGTGTGTGCACCCAGAGGAGGGACAGAGGGGGCGGCCCTGCGAGGCGGGGGAACTCCCTCGCTCCCACCCCAGAGCTCAGGACAGAGCGACTCCTCCAGCTCTCAGCTAGCAGCTGGGTCCCTCGCCCTCCCCACAGGATTCGCCCCTTCCCCATCAAGTAGAGACCCCCGAGTCCTCCCCGCCTCTCCCCGTCCTTCCCGGAGGCAGGTGCAGCCCCGGGGCCTCCCGGCCGCCGTCCCCACCTCTTGGCGCCGGAACCGGGCGCAGTCCTGATCCTGCAAACACAAACAGCATTGCCTGGGCAGATCCGAGCCGCACTGACATCACCGGGCGGAGGGAGCCGGCTCCTGTTGGGACCTTTCCCCGGGCCGGGCAGCGAGCCCAGAGCGCGGCTGGGACAGAGGAGTCCTCGTGAGGAAGAGGTGCTGGCGTGGCCGGAGGGCATGGAATGGGTCGGAGCCGGGCGCACCGAGCCCCGCTGGAGAGGCTGGTCCCGGGGTGAGCAGGGACCCGGGCACAGCACCCGCCGGCACCGCCACGCTGCTCTTCGCTCCCTGGTGTTTACACTGGTGTACCGGGCAGGACGGTGGGTCTGTGAGCTCCGGGCAGTGAGATACAGCTGGTCCGCGCTGTCGCCACTCAGTGTGACCTCTGCGGGAGGGTCAGTGTGACACCGGCGCTCCCTGGGACTCATACTCCAACTCCACAGCCCAGGACCGAGAGATGCTGGCACAGACGCCGTTCTGTGGGAGGCTGTGGGCGGGGAGGCTCCTCCAGCACCGTGTGCCGCAGCCGCAGCCCGGAGGCTGTGGCTGACCACAGCTCCCAGAGTTCGGCACGCCCATGCTTGGCCGCAGGTGCCCTCAAACCTGCCGGTGTGCACAGCCCAGCACCGCGGCCTCTGCTCCCTCGGGCACTGTCACTGCACTGTGGCAGATCCCAGCGTGTCCCGGAGCTCTGCAAACGGGAGGGCAGGTTTGGATTAGATGTTACCTCACTCTGAGGCAGCCCCAGAGACTCTTTGCCTGGTGTTCACTGCTCACTGAGATGGAGCCTCTGCCCTCCTTGCATTGCTAGGAGAGTATGGGAAGGAGGGACAGCAGAAAGAGAGGTGGGTTCTTGCAGCAGCCACAGTGGGAGCACACAGACCTGCATGTTGGGACTCCTGGAATCACAGAATCATGGAATGGTTTGGGTGGGAACGGGCCTGAAAGCCCACCCACTCCCATGCTGTTGTGGGCAGGGACATCTTCTAAGGTTGTTCCAAGCCCTGTGTAACCTGGCCTGGAACACTTCCAGGGATGGGGCAGCCATAGCTTCCCTTGGCACCCTGTGCCAGGGCCTCCCTACCCTCACAAGGAAGAATTCCTTTCCAATACCCCATCTATCCTACTCTCTGGCAGTGGGAAGCCATTCCCCTTGCCCTGTTCCTCCATTCCTTGTTCCCATTCCCTCTCCAGCTCTCCTGGAGCCCCTTTAGGCCCTGGTAGGGGCTCTCAGGTCTCCCTGGAGCCTTCTCTTCTCCAGGTGAACACCCCCAGCTCTCCCAGCCTGGTTCCAGAGCAGAGGGGCTCCAGCCCTTGGAGCATCTCTGTGGCCTCCTCTGGACTCTGGCAGCTCCACGTCCTTATGTTGGGGCCCCAGGGCTGGAGGGAGCTCTGCAGGTGGGGTCTCCTCTCAGTGGGGCAGAGGGGCAGAATCCTGCCCCTCTCCTGCTGCCCACACTGTGGGATCAGCCCAGAAAATGAGGGTTTTCTGGGTGCCAGTGCACATGGCTGGGGCATGTGGAGCTTCTCCTCCATCAACCCTGAGCTTGGCCAGATCCCTTGGGGTGGCACATCAGGTTCAGACGTGCTCGGCCTTTGGCTGTCACTTCCTCCTGCCTGGGGTTGTTTATGTTTCTGATTTCCCTGTATTTAACACGTAAAGCATAAAAAAGTTGATTTCTCACTGACCCTCCTCCCATTCTCCCCCCTCTCTCCAGAGTCCTGTGGAAGGCCTGCAGCGGGAGGATGGAGAGCAAGCCAGCAGTGAATGGCCACGTTGTCCCCAGCTTTCCCGGGGAAGACATGCCAGGGAAAACCCACTTGTGCCAGGACGCGATGCCGAGCAAACAGCCAAGAGCAGCTGGCAGGGACGCGGTGGGGCCGGATGCTCCCGGGAGCCCTCGGAGGCAGCTCGCAGCATTGCCGGTGTGTATGTAGAGGCTTCAAAGAAGATAATGAGCTTTTATGAGGCCACCAGAGAGCATCTCCTGAGCCTGGATCCAGCCCTCAGCCTCCTCGAGGCCCAGGCAGCCACTGGCTCCATCGCCGACCCGGTGACGCACCGGCACGTCTCGGTGGCAGAAGCCGTGCGGCTGGGGCTGGTGGGGCTGGAGCTGAAGGAGAGGCTGCTTGCAGCAGAGAGGGCTGCCACTGGCTTCCTGGACCCCTACACAGAAGAGAAGATCCCCCTGTACCAGGCAATGCAGAAGGAGCTGGTGGGAAGGGAGCAGGGCACCCGGCTGCTCCAGGCCCAGATGGCAACCGGAGGCGTCATCGACCCGGCCACCGGGGCTCGACTGCCAGTGGATGTGGCCTGTGAGAGGGGATATTTGGATGAAGAGATGAGCCAGCACCTCTCTGACCCCAGCCACGAGGACAGCAGAGGGTTCCTCGATCCCAGCACTACAGAGAAGGTCACCTATTGGGAACTTAGGAAGAGATGTGTTGTGGATCCCGCCTCAGGCTTCCTCCTCCTGCCCCTGAAAATCACATTCCCAGGGCTGGGAGGGAGGGTGAGCAGCAGGGACCTGCTGGACTCTGGTATCATCAGCCATGACGTGTTCCAAGGCCTCGAGGAGGGAAGAGTCTCTGTGCAGGAGTTGGCAGAGAACGATGTTGTCCAGCAGTTCCTGCATGGGACAAGGAGTGTGGCTGGGGTTGTCCTGCCTTCTGGGGAGCAGAGGAGCCTTTACCAGGCCCTGAGAGAGCATCTCCTCGTGCCTGGTGCTGCTCTGATGCTCCTGCAAGTCCAGGCCTCCACTGGCAGCCTGATAGACCCCCTGAAGAACAAAACTTACTCAGTGGATGAGGCTGTCAAGGTTGGTTTTATCGGCCCAGAGCTTCATGAGAAACTGTCTTCAGCTGAGAAAACCATCACTGGATACAGAGACCCCTCCACTGGGGAAATGCTCTCTCTGTTCCAAGCCATCAGGAAGGGATTTGTCCCCAGGGACCATGGCCTCTGTCTTCTGGAGGCTCAGATGGCCACGGGGGGTGTGATTGCTCCAGGCAGACACCTCCGTGTCCCCACAGAGACAGCCTACGAGTGGGGGTACCTGGATGAGGCCACCAGACAGCTCCTCTCCAGCCCTCCTGACCACATGAAAGGATTCTTTGACCCCAGCTCCAAAGAAAAGCTGAGTTATTCGGAGCTGCTCCAGCGCTGCGTCACCGATCCTGGCACGGGGCTCCTGCTGCTGCCACTTGGTGGGGACAGCAGTGAAGGATCCCAGGGAACCCACCTCTTCTTTGACCATAGGGCCCAAACAGCTCTGGAAAACACACAGGTGCCCATTTCTGTAGGGAAGTTCAAGGGCAAGTCAGTGTCTCTCTGGAAACTCCTCTTCTCTGACTACATCCAGGGCGAGCGAAGAGCTGCTCTTGCCCAGCAGTTCCTGTCAGGAACACTCTCCACGCAAGGACTGGGTGAGTCCATCAGAGCTGCTGTTGAGGAAATGGCTGCCACTGCCAACGTCACCTTTGAGGGCCTGAGGGACCAGGTGACGGCTGACCAGCTCCTGAGCTCAGAAATTATCAACAAAGACTTGTTTAAGAAACTCAAGGAAGGTGAAACGTCAGCCAAAGAAGTTGTTGGCATGGACACCGTCAGGAAGTACCTGCAGGGCACAGGAAGCATCGGGGGGCTGCTGCTCCCCGACTCCCAGGAGAAGATCAGCATCTACCAGGCAAAGCGGAAAGGTCTTCTAAGGCCAGGAACATCTCTGATCCTCCTGGAGGCACAGGCTGCCACAGGGTTTGTCATTGACCCCACTGCCAACAAAAGGTACTCTGTGGACGAGGCCTTGCGAGCGAACGTCATTGGCCCAGACGTTTACGACAAGCTGCTGGCTGCGGAGAAATCGGTCACCGGCTACAGAGATCCCTACTCAGGGAGCAAGATCTCCCTCTTCCAGGCCATGCAGAAGGAGCTGATTGTCAAGGAGCACGGCATCCGCCTGCTCGAGGCCCAGATCGCCACCGGCGGCATCATCGACCCCGTGCACAGCCACCGCATCCCCGTGGAGGTGGCCTACAAACGCGGCTACTTTGACAAGAAGATGAATTTAATCCTTTCTGACCCCAGCGATGACACCAAGGGCTTCTTCGACCCCAACACCCACGAGAACCTGACCTACCTGCAGCTGAAGGAGAAGTGCATCACCGAGCCCTCCACCGGGCTCTGCCTCCTCCCTCTGAACAGCAGGAAGCGGCAGTTCATCGACGAGGCCACCAGGCAGGTGTTCAGGAGCTCCTGGCTGCCCGTCAGGTTTGGGCGCTTACGGGGGGAGAAGGTCTCTGTGTGGGACCTGCTGAACTCTGAGTACTTCAGCGAGGGGAGGCGCCGGGAGATTTTCAACCACTTCCAGCTGAGGAAGCTCAGCCTGGAGCAAATCCGACTCATGCTGGAGGAGGAAATGAAGAAATGGGCCCCCATCAAGTTCCCAGCCATGCGAGGCAGCGTCAGTGCTTACCACCTGATGGAAACGGGCGTCATTGACAGGGCCCTGTTTGAGAAGGTGCTGGAGGGATCCGTCACGCCAGAGCAAGTCCTGCACATGGACTCTGTCAGGAAGTACCTCTATGGCTCAGGCAGCATTGGGGGGATTGTGCTCCAGCCATCAAACCAGAGGATGAGCATTTATGAGGCCATGAAGCAGAACATTGTGGTGCCAGGAGTAGCTCTGCCCCTGCTAGAGGCCCAGGCTGCCACGGGCTTCATCATCGACCCTGTGAACAATCAGAAGCTCCGTGTGGATGAGGCTGTCAGGGAGGGAGTCATCGGCCCGGACGTCCATGAGAAGCTGCAGCACGCAGAAGGGGCCGTGACAGGCTACAAAGACCCTTTCACGGGCAAGAAGATCCCCCTCTTCCAGGCAATGAAGAAGGGCCTGATCGAGGACAAACGGGCCATGCAGCTCATGGAGGTGCAGATGGCCACAGGAGGCATCATTGACCCAGCGTGTGGCCACTACATCCCCCTGGAGTCAGCCCAGCAGCGAGGGTGCCTGGATGAGGACACGAGCAAGGCCCTTTCCAAGCCCAGTGATGAGCACAGAGCCTTCTGCCTCCCGGATAGCAAAGAGTCCGTGACCTACGCTGAGCTAATCCAGCGCTGCCAGAAGGACGACGTCTCTGGCTTCCACTTGCTGCCTCTGCCTCAGACAGCTGCTCCTGCCTACACGGATGAGCAAATCCAACGGATTTTCAAGGAAACTATGGTGAAGGAAAAAGGGGTTTCCCTCTGGGAGCTCATCCACTCAGGCTATTTCACTGAGGAGCAGAGGAGTGACTTCGTGGAGAGGTTCCGCTCCGAGGAGTTGTCGCTGCAGCAGCTGGTCGCTCTTGTGCTCAGGCTTGTGGGGGACATGGAGATGAAAGCCAGGACCCAGATCTCCCTGGAGGGCCTGCGGGGCAGTGTCCCCGTGGTCTGGCTGCTGGACACTGGCATCATTTCTGAGAAGACGTTTGAGGAACTGGCTCAGGGCATAAGAACTCCTGAGGAAGTGGCTGCGATGGAGAGCGTGAAGAGGTACTTGCAGGGCACAGGCAGCATCGCCGGCGTCTTCATAGAGGCATCCAAACAGAAAATGAGCTTCTATGATGCCATGAAAAACAATCTCCTCCTCCCTGGGGCTGCTCTGAGGATGCTCGAGGCTCAGGCAGCCACAGGATACCTGACTGACCCTGCAACGAACCGGAGGCTCAGCGTGAGGGATGCTGTGAGAGCGGCTGTTGTGGGCGAAGAGCTCACCGAGAAACTCCTTCTCGCTGAGAGGGCCGTGACGGGGTACACGGATCCCTACACAGGGAGCTCCATCTCCCTGTGTCAAGCGCTGAGGAAGGAGCTGATCCCCCTGGGAGAGGCTATTCCCTTGCTAGAGGCCCAGCTGGCCACGGGAGGGGTCATTGATCCCATCCACCACCTCCACCTGCCGCTCCAGGCTGCGTGCAGGTACGGCTTCTACAACGAGGACATGAACCACACCCTGTCTCAGCTGAATGACAGCACCAAGGTCTTTTTTGATCCCAACACCAAGGAGAACGTGACCTACGAGCAGCTGAAGCAGCGGTGCATTCGCGAGCCTGAGTCAGGGCTGTGGCTCCTCCCTCTGTCAGAAAATGCCATGTTCTGTGTGGATGAACAGACCATGGAAGTGCTGAAATCTGTGACTGTTTGTGTCAACGTGGGGCGGTTCAAGGGACAGACAGTATCTGTCTGGGACCTCCTCAACTCTGAATACTTCTCAGACAGCAAGAGAAGAGAGCTGGTGCAAAAGTACAAAGATGAGAAGGCTGAAGTGCTCCAGGAAATCACAACAATTATCACCACAATCATCCAAGAGACTGAGGCACAAGGCAAGAAGTTTGCATTCCAGGGCCTGCGGAAAAGAGTATCTGCCAGTGACCTCTTCCAGTCCCAACTCATAGACAAAAAGACCCTTGATGAGCTCAACCAGGGGAAGAAAACAGTCAAAGAAGTCACTGAAATGGAGTCTGTCCGCAGGTACCTGGAGGGCAGCAATTTCATAGCAGGGGTCCTTATACAGCCAAGCAATGAGAAGATGAGCATCTACCAGGCCATGTGGAAAGGCATCCTGAGGCCAGGGACTGCCCTGGTGCTGCTGGAGGCGCAGGCAGCCACTGGGTACATCATTGACCCTGAGAAAAACCAGAAGTTTTCCGTGGAGGAAGCGCTAAAGGAAGGTCTGATCGGAGGGGAGATTTTTGAAAAGCTGCTCTGTGCAGAGAGAGCTGTGACGGGCTACACTGACCCCTACACGAAAGCCTCAATGTCCCTGTTCGAAGCCATGAAGCAGGGGCTGATTGTGAAGAGCCATGGCATCCGCCTGCTTGAGGCCCAGATCGCCACCGGCGGCATCATCGACCCCGTGCACAGCCACCGCCTGCCCGTGGAGGTGGCCTACAAACGCGGCTACTTCGACCAGGAGATGAACCAGATCCTGTCCGACCCCAGCGACGACACCAAGGGCTTCTTCGACCCCAACACCCACGAGAACCTGACCTACATGCAGCTACTGGAGAGATGTGTCCAGGATCCTGAGACTGGGCTGTATATGCTGCAGGTTGTAAAGGAAGGAGGGAAGTACTTCTACATCGATGAGTCCACAAAACAGGCTTTGCGCTCAAAGCCCCTCCAAGTGAAAGTCGGCAAGTTTAAGGACCAAACAGTTTCTGTCTGGGAAGTGCTCTGCTCTCACTACATCTCAGAGCAGAAAAGGAAAGAGCTGGTGATGCAGTACAAAAACAAAACCCTGACACTGGAAGATCTGATATCCCTCATCTTAAAAATCATCGAGGACACAGAGCAAAGAGCAGAAGCCCTCAAGGTCAAAGGACTGCGGGGGGAGGTGTCAGTGTCAGAACTGTTCAACTCTGAGATAATTGACAAGAAAACCCTGGATCAGCTGCATGATGGGAGTCTAACACTCGCCACCCTCACAAAGAGGGACACCATCCAAAGGTACCTGGATGGCACTGGGAGCATCGCTGGGGTTCTTCTCCCATCGAGGAAGGAGAAGATGAGCATCTACCAGGCACTGAAGAAGGGCCTTCTCACAGAGCAGTGTGCGCTGGGGCTGCTGGAGGCGCAGGCGGCCACCGGCTTCCTCATCGACCCCCTGAACAACCAGAAGCTGTCAGTGGATGAGGCTGTGTCATCTGGGCTGGTGGGCAGTGAACTGCGTGAGCAACTGCTGCTGGCAGAGAAAGCAGTGACGGGATACACAGATCAAACGGGAGCTAAAATATCCCTCTTCCAGGCTGTAAGGCAGAAGAGAACAGCCAGGGACCACGGCATCCGCCTGCTCGAGGCCCAGCTCGCCACCGGCGGCATCATCGACCCTGTGCACGGCCACCGCCTGCCCCTGGACGTGGCCTATCGGCGTGGGCACCTGGATGAGGACATGTTCCTCCTGCTCTCGGATCCAGATCATGGCAGCAAAGGCTTCATAGACCCAAACACTCGTGAGAAGATCAGCTACAGTCAGCTCCTGCAGAGATGTGCCAAGGACAGGGAGAGCGGCTTGTACCTGCTGCAGGTCCTGGAAAAGCAGGATGACTATTTCTACGTTGATGAGCAAACAAAGAACACCCTGCTGTGTACAATGGTCCAAGTGCCTGTGGGGAAATACAAGGGACAAGTGTTATCTCTGTGGGAACTTCTCTGCTCCGAGTACATCACGGAGGAGAAAAGAAAAGAACTGCTGAAGAAATACAAAGCAGAATCTCAACATATATTGCAAGGAATCATTGAGATAATACTAAAGATCATTAGAGAAAAAGAGGAAGACAGAAGTGATGTCTGGTTCCAGGGAATACGACAACAAATAACAGCATCAGAACTGCTCAGTGCACACATAATTACAGAAGAAACCATGGAAAAACTCCACAAAGGAAAAGAGACGGCACAGGAGATAGCACAAATGGACAGTGTAAGGAGATACCTTGAGGGAACTGGAAGCATCGCCGGTGTTCTGGTGCCTTCCAAGGCTGATCCCACCAAGATGGAGAAGATGAGCATCTACCAGGCCATGTGGAAGGGCATCCTGAGGCAGGGCACGGCCCTGGTGCTGCTGGAAGCGCAGGCCGCCACAGGATTCATCATTGACCCAGTCAACAACCAGAAGCTGTCAGTGGATGAGGCCGTGTCATCTGGGCTGGTGGGCAGCGAACTACAAAAGAAACTTCTCAGTGCAGAGAGAGCCGTGACAGGATACACCCACCCCTACACAGGTCAAAAGATGTCACTCTTCCAGGCCATGCAGAAGGAACTGATTGTGAGGGACCACGGCATCCGCCTGCTCGAGGCCCAGATCGCCACCGGCGGCATCATCGACCCTGTGCACAGCCACCGCCTGCCCGTGGAGGTGGCCTACAAACGTGGCTACTTCGACCAGGAGATGAACCAGATCCTGTCCGACCCTAGCGATGACACCAAGGGCTTCTTCGACCCCAACACCCACGAGAACCTGACCTACGTGCAGCTGCTGCGCCGCTGCGTCCCCGACCCCGACACGGGGCTGCTCATGCTGCAGCTGATGGACAAGGGCTCCGTGCTCTACCAGCTGACCGAGGACGCCCGCAAAGCCCTGCAGGCCGCCCGCACCACCCTCAGCGTGGGGCTCTTCCAGGGCCAGAGCGTCACCGTCTGGGAGCTCCTCTTCTCCCGCTACGTCCCCGACCACCGGCGCCAGGAGCTCCTGCGCAGGTACAAGGCGGGCACGGTCACCCTGGCGGAGATGATCGACATCCTCACCTCCATCGTCACCAGGGCCGAGGCCCAGGGCCCCGGTGATGACCTGGCCCCTAAGACCATCCATGAGGACACCCCACCAAAGTCAGGCCAGAATGGTGAGGCCACAGGATCCCGGCAGGACCAGGAACAGGAGCAGAAGAAGGAGAAGGAGAAGGAGAAGGAGCTGGAGCTGGAGCGCTCCCTCAAGTCCCACACTGTGGAGGTCTCAGCAGGAGACTTCCAGGGCAGGAAGGTGTCCCTGTGGGAGCTCCTCTTCTCCCAGTACGTGGCCGAGTCCAAGCGGCAGGAGCTGCTGGGGCAGGTACGGGCCGGGACTCTGGCGCTGGCCAAGCTGGCCACGCTCCTCAGCCGGCTGGTGGAGGAGGCGGCGCAGCGCAGCAGCAGCGTCAAATTCACGGGCCTGCGGAGGCAGGTGACGGCCTCGGACCTGCTGGACTCGGGCATCATTGACAGGGACACGCTGGACGAGCTGGTGCAGGGCTCAAGGACGGTGCAGGAGGTGACAGAAATGGCCTCCGTCAAGCGCTACCTGGACGGCACGGGCGTCATCGCCGGCGTGCTGGTGCCCTCCAAGGCCGACCCCACCAAGATGGAGAAGATGAGCATCTACCAGGCCATGTGGAAGGGCATCCTGAGGCAGGGCACGGCCCTGGTGCTGCTGGAAGCGCAGGCCGCCACAGGATTCATGGTCGATCCCGTCAACAACCAGAAGCTGTCAGTGGATGAGGCCGTGTCGTCCGGGCTGGTGGGCAGCGAACTGCAGGAGAAACTGCTGTCGGCCGAGAGGGCCGTGACGGGCTACTCCGACCCCTACACGGGCGACAAGATCTCCCTCTTCCAGGCCATGAAGAAGGAGCTGATTGTGAGGGACCATGGCATCCGCCTGCTCGAGGCCCAGATCGCCACCGGCGGCATCATCGACCCCGTGCACAGCCACCGCCTGCCCGTGGAGGTGGCCTACAAACGTGGCTACTTCGACCAGGAGATGAACCAGATCCTGTCCGACCCCAGCGATGACACCAAGGGCTTCTTCGACCCCAACACCCACGAGAACCTGACCTACGTGCAGCTGCTGCGCCGCTGCGTCCCCGACCCCGACACGGGGCTGCTCATGCTGCAGCTGATGGACAAGAGCTCCGTGCTCTACCAGCTGACCGAGGACGCCCGCAAAGCCCTGCAGGCCGCCCGCACCACCCTCAGCGTGGGGCTCTTCCAGGATCAGAGCGTCACCGTCTGGGAGCTCCTCTTCTCCCGCTACGTCCCCGACCACCGGCGCCAGGAGCTCCTGCGCAGGTACAAGGCGGGCACGGTCACCCTGGCGGAGATGATCGACATCCTCACCTCCATCGTCACCAGGGCCGAGGCCCAGGGCCTTGGTGATGACCTGGCCCCTAAGACCATCCATCAGGACGCCCCACCAAAGTCAGGCCAGAATGGTGAGGCCACAGGATCCCGGCAGGACCAGGAACGGGAGCAGGAGAAGGAGAAGGAGCTGGAGCTGGAGCGCTCCCTCAAGTCCCACACTGTGGAGGTCTCAGCAGGAGACTTCCAGGGCAGGAAGGTGTCCCTGTGGGAGCTCCTCTTCTCCCAGTACGTGGCCGAGGCCAAGCAGCAGGAGCTGCTGGGGCAGGTGCGGGCTGGGACTCTGGCGCTGGCCAAGCTGGCCACGCTCCTCAGCCGGCTGGTGGAGGAGGCGGCACAGCGCAGCAGCAGTGTCAAATTCACGGGCCTGCGGAGGCAGGTGACGGCCTCGGACCTGCTGGACTCGGGCATCATTGACAGGGACACGCTGGACGAGCTGGTGCAGGGCTCAAGGACGGTGCAGGAGGTGACAGAAATGGCCTCCGTCAAGCGCTACCTGGACGGCACGGGCGTCATCGCCGGCGTGCTGGTGCCCTCCAAGGCCGACCCCACCAAGATGGAGAAGATGAGCATCTACCAGGCCATGTGGAAGGGCATCCTGAGGCAGGGCACGGCCCTGGTGCTGCTGGAAGCGCAGGCCGCCACAGGATTCATGGTCGATCCCGTCAACAACCAGAAGCTGTCAGTGGATGAGGCCGTGTCGTCCGGGCTGGTGGGCAGCGAACTGCAGGAGAAGCTGCTGTCGGCCGAGAGGGCCGTGACGGGCTACTCCGACCCGTACACGGGCGAAAAGATCTCCCTCTTCCAGGCCATGCAGAAGGAGCTGATTGTGAGGGACCACGGCATCCGCCTGCTCGAGGCCCAGATCGCCACCGGCGGCATCATCGACCCCGTGCACAGCCACCGCCTGCCCGTGGAGGTGGCCTACAAACGCGGCTACTTCGACCAGGAGATGAACCAGATCCTGTCCGACCCCAGCGATGACACCAAGGGCTTCTTCGACCCCAACACCCACGAGAACCTGACCTACGTGCAGCTGCTGCGCCGCTGCGTCCCTGACCCCGACACGGGGCTTTATTTCCTTAAAATTCTTAGATAATACTTGTAAAACCTTTTGATGTTTTTTTTGTTATTGCCTTAGGGAAGAATGTTGCTATTGTGAATAATTCTTCTGCTGCCTGTGTTTGTCTTTCTTTTTTTAAATATTTTTTTTTTTAATTTCTGAGCCCACAGAGGGAATTTCCTCTGTGATCTCTTTGCTTTCCTACCTCCACCCACCTCAGGTGCAGCTTTAAAGTGCCTCCCCTGAGCAGTGTTGAGGCCGTGCTTTGAGCTTTGTCTGGGGTCATCTTTCAGGAACAGAGGAACCAGCATGGGTTATCTCAGGTTACTGTGGTGAAATATGTCATTCTCCTTTTCATCACCCAGGTTTAAGTGCAGGTCCTTGTTCCGTGTGGGTGTTACTGAGACAGGTATTTTTATCCACCTTCTCTTCTGTTTTCCTGCACATGGTGAATATTTTTCCCAGCAGCTTTTCAGGGCAGTATTCAAGTTGCAGGATTTCAAGCCTGAGTTTTGCATGGAGAGCAGATTTCCATGTGGGCAGGATCTCAGGCTGGCATTGTCACCAGCGTGGGACACAGCATCTGTGTTTGGTCTCCTTCCCTCAGCCTCTCCAGCTTTTCTGGGGGTGTCTGGAGTACAAATACGCTCAGCCCAGAGGGCTTTGCTCCCTTACTTTGCTTTCCTTCCCTCCGTGGGGATGGATCCATACAGGAGCTGAGATCCTGGAATCTACCTGGACGTGCCATAGTTTTAGTCTGTCCATCCACAGCACAGCCTCCATCCCCCCTCCTTCCCATTTCCCTCCTGTGTCCTGAGCTGGCTCAGCCCACGTGCCACCCTCCAGGAGAGGAGCAGCCCTAGAACCACTCTGCTGCAGAGTTCAGGGATGAATAGTTCTACTGCTGTTTAATAGAGGGAAACTTGACCTCCTTAAATGCTGCCTGGGGCTGTTTGCCTTAATTAACCCGGTAATGTCCTGGAAAATGGAGTTTTGGCCCAGCTTGTGCAGCCGATACCTGGGAATAAGCGCAGGGGAGCTTTGGGACTCCTGATCTTAAACCTGCTGTGGAGCCTGGAAAATTTACATGGGGTCAAAAACAACGGGACAAATGAACGGGAGAGAAGTCACAGAAACATGGAATGGTTTGAGTGGGAAGGGACCTGAAAGCCCGCCCAGTCCCAACACCCCTGCCAGGGACACCTTCCACGAGACCAGGTTGCTCCAAGCCAGGCGTGCCATGGGCTGGCACGCCCTCAGGATGAGGCCTCCGGAGATCAAAGCCCCAGCCCCAGCCGGGCGTGCCAGCTCCTGCTGCCTCCCGGAGCCTCCAGCGCCTGCGGACCTTGTCCTGTGTGCCACGCTGCTTCCCGCCCTGCCTCCCTGCCCACCTTCCTTCCTGCTCACAGAACCTACAGCCATGGAATGCTCGGGGTTGGAAAAGCCCCACTGAGTCCAACTGCTCCCCCAGCGCTGCCAAAAGGCCACTACTGGCAATGTCCCCAAGTGCCACCACGTCCTCAGGGTTTTTAAATCCCCCCCCCCCCCAAGAATGGGGGCTCCACCCCTGCCCTGGGGGCAGCTGTGCCCAGGGAAGCCCTGGGTGCCTTTTGGTGGGGAATGGGATCAGGTCTTGCTGTGCACAGCAAATCCCGTATCCCAGAGCACCTCCTGGATTCCTGGATACTGGGAAGAAATTCCTCCCTGTGAGGGTGGGCAGGCCCTGGCACAGGTTGCCCAGAGAAGCTGTGGCTGCCCCTGAATCCCTGGAAGTGTCCAAGGCCAGGCTGGACGGGGCTTGGAGTAATCTGGTCTGGTGGAAGGGGTGGGACTGGGTGATCTTTAAATCCCTTCCCACTCAAACCACCCTGTGATTCCATGACCCCCGAGCTCCTGGCAGAGGCACATCTCCCTTTGCTCTGTGCATAGCCCCCTGGGCACATTTTGGGAGCGCTTGACTGAGCAGAGCAGCCACATTTAGGGGGTCATTTATCAAGGGATGATCTCTGGGGCAGGACTCCCCCCGTCTGCCCTCAGCAGGACACTCTGCCAGCGCCCACCATCCATCCCCTGTGTCCGAGGGGTTGGTGGGGACAGATGGCACAATTAGAGCTCAGTCCATACCTGTGCCCTGTCCTGATGTGCCCTCAGGGGGCAACAGGACTGTGCCTGGGGAGGACCTGGACCAGATCTTGAGCAGGATCCTTCTCCCTCTGTGACCTGAAGCTGCCAGGAAGCCAAATAAGAAACAAATTCCCTTGTGCAGGAAGCAGCTGCAGCCGTGCTTCACCCCTGGCACCACCCCAATGCCCCTGCCACCATTCCAGTGCCCCTGACACCTTCCCAGCACCTTTGGCACCTCCCCACCACACCTGGCATCACCCCAGCATGCCAAGCTTATCTCCCTCCTGGTCCCTGCCACTGGCCAGGTGCCTTCAAGCACCAGGAAAAGCCTGGCGATCCCTGTTTCCCAGGAACTACACATCAGGGCAGAGGATGCTCGAGAGTCCCTTTCCCACAGAGATCCGAGTTGTGCAATCCTGTCTCTCCCAGCTGGAATAAGGAGTGTTTTTATCTCCTATGTGCCCATGGCCGCAGGTCTGTGCCAGTCCCCTGAGCACGGGGCTGGGCTGGTTCCTTGGGGCCTTCCCAAGGGAACATTTTTGTTGTTCTTTTCCTCCAGAAGTACCTGCACTGGGAGTGTGGCCGGGCAGGATTGGGTGGAGTGGGTGTGGCAGTGACACCTGCCGTCCAGGTGACCTTCCCTCGGGTCCAAGACTGCCTGGGTGATGTTCCCCCTCGGATCCAACTCCGCTGGCTCAGTTCTGCAGACCCCACGTCAGCTCCACACCTGCCCAGGGCACCCACACAGTGCAGGGGAGCTCCACACCTTCCTGGAGCTCCCACACAGGTGGCTCTGTGCCACGGGACACCTCTGGCACCGGGAATGCTGGTGCACGAGCTCCACACCGTGGGTTGTGTCGGGCACCGGGTGCTGCTGGATTTGTGGTGTCCCCTGCGTGACACACAACACTCTGCTCAGACAAACTGGTCCAGCCCTGTGCCTTCTGATCCCCTGAGTCTGATGCCTTAATCCAGCTGTTCTCTGCCCAGACAAGGGGAAAGGCCAGGCAGATCCTGCCGAGGGGTGGATGGTTTCTATCAGCCAATTCCCTCTGGCAGGCCCCAACAGTGTCATGGCATTAAAGGAGCCAGAAACCATCCAAGACCCCCAAAGCACCCCAGACTCATTTCTGAGGCTTCCACCAGAGGAAAGCACGTGATCCACAGTGTTACATCAGACAGCAAAAATCCCCCCAAGGGGAGGTACCTGGACACCCTCACTTAAACCTGAATGTGTATTAACCCACTAAACTCCCGTTTCAGGGGACCCCACTCCCAACAGATCAACACCATGACCATCATTCCCACCATGGAAATTGCAGCAATCAAGTCTCATTGCTGGATCTGTGGGTGGTAAAATCTTCCTTCTCCACTATCTACCCTTGTCCTTTCTGTCTCTTTCTTTCTTTTCCTTTTATATTTTCTTTAGAGGCATATTTATATTTTTATATATTTACAGTTTTACAGATAATAACCAAAACGTCCACATCCCCCTTTCCACTGCAATTAAATTGCTTTAAAATAAACCTGCTCATGTATACACGGTGTCGTTTCACACTGACCCACCCCAAGGGATACACTGATAAAAACTTCACCCCTCCTCTGTCAGAGGTGGGTGGTATCCCCCTGCCATGTGCTGCCCCTGTGTGGATGTTCCTGGGGGTGTCCGAGCACGGGGGTTGCTGTCACCACATCAGATGTGGGCTGTTCCCTGCTTCGTGTGCCTCCCTTCCTCAGCAATCCGTGCTCAGCACCACAGTCCAGGGGCTCAGGGACGGACACTCCCAGGACCAGCTGGAGGGGAGCCAGGAGCTGTGTCAGCACCTGAGCTCTAGCACAGGAGGTTTCCCAAATCAATCACTGAAGGAAAACACTCCCCGAACACCCCAGTGCTGAAACATCCTTGGGAAAGGCATCTCCCGGCTCTCTGATGTGGTTCCTGGCTCCCTCAGCCGAGGACTCCCACACCTTCCGGCAGGGCTGCAGATGCCCAAGCCCAGGTGTCTCCATGGATTCCTGGGAAGCTGCAGGAGCTGCTGGTGGGTCAGGGAGTGCAGGGGCATCCCGTGGGTCCGGAGCCTCGCTCTGTGCCGGTGGAACTGCCACCAGGGGCAGCTGCAGAGGTGGAGGCAGCACACACGTGAGTCGGGGGCTCCCCCCCAGATCTGAACTCCCCTGCTGTTTCTTCTCAGCCTGAAAAACATCGGCCCTTTAACACCCAACCACTTAAAGGCCACGCAGCAGGTGGGTGGCAGCCCCAGCAATCCAGTGCCACAGAATCACGGAATCACAAAATTGTTTGAGTTGGAAAAGTCCCCTGAGGCCCCTGAGTCCAACTGTTCTCTCAGCACTGCCAAGATCACCACTGACAATGTTTTCAAGTGCCACATTCATAGGGCTGTTAAATCCCCCCAGGGATGGGGACTCCACCTCTGCCCTGGGTAGCTGTGCCAGGGCTGGACAACCTTTTCCAGGAAGGGATTTTCTCAATATCCAACCTGACCCTTCCCTGACACAATTTCAGACCGTTTCCTCTCATCCTGTCAGTTGTTTCCTGGGAGCAGAGCCCGACCCACATCTGGCTCCCCCCTCCTGTCAGGGAGCTGTAGAGAGCAAGAAGGTCCCTGTTGATGAGACACAAACATGACAGTGTCCCCTCCCTTCCTTCTTTGAATGCAGAGAGTGTGAAATGTGGAGTTGCTGTGTTTGAAAACCCAGTCAGGAGCTGCTGCCCCAGTCACAATCCTGTGACTGTGCTCAGGGTGTGGGAGGCCCAGCACCAGCTCAGGTGGCACATCTGATGCCTTCCAGAGGGAGAAGGTAGAATGGGCAAA